GTGCGAGATTTGTTCTGGAACAAATTTAAGCTATTTGAATAAAACTATGAAGTTATTTTTCTATATAATTTTACTAGTATTTAAATCGAAGCCTGGCGAATCGGTGGACTATATATGTATATACACATAGCTGCCATAGGTACGATCGGAAAACGTTTAGAAAAACAAGTTATTACTTTTCCAGTTTTCAACAGATTTTCATCAAATTTTATATGTAGCCTTTTTATATTAATATAGAATTTTGTGTAAAATTATATGAAAATGGGACTACTATATCATATAGCTACCATACAAACGATCGTTAAAAATAGATGTGAACGCAAAACTGTGAATGTAAAACTGTAAATATAAAATGTATAGGTGAATGAAATAAAAGCAGTCATTACTTCATTGTATTTTTAAGAAGAAATATATTATTTACATTGCATTAATTCCTAGTTATCGAATTTCAATCTGCAAGGGTATACAATTAAATTAATGTTACTAATTTGCTGTCCCCTGTTGTGGCTGTCATTTAGCAACCGCAGAGCGCGTAGAAAAATGCAATAACAATGCCTACAATGAACCATCGATGGACACAACGAGACGAGGAGCAGGGACACTGTCTCCTCTCCCCCTGTCATTTGACGTCGCTTTCCTTTGTCAGCTAGTTTACTATATGTATATAGTACTTAATTTTCCTTCATGCCAGACTGCTCGTCGTCGCCTGCTGAATGCGATTCGCAACTGGCAATTTTTTGGCCAAAATAAAATGCAAGCAAAGGAAAGGTCGTGTCGTGACTGCACATGTGCGCGGAAATAATGAAAGCGGAGGCTGGAGGCTGGCCAGAGTGCCGGAAGCTCTGGGGAGGAGAGGGAAGCGATAATGTAGCACTATCGATCCCCACGAAAACTTGATTTTCTACCATCGAATCCGAGAGATTACGAACAGCATTTGGTAAATAATAAAATTAGTGTCAATGAACCTAGGCAAAAAAGTGCGTTGAATATGCAAAATAGCAAAAGCCAGAGAGGAAGGTGGAAAGTGGAAATAAGCGCGGAAAACACTTGAAAAGTCCCACATGCAATTGTCCTGGAAATCAACCCTTGTCATACATAATTCGCACAAAAGCCCGTCAAGGGGTTACACGCTCGAGTGATAATGGGTGGTAGTGGTTGTGTTGCAACTGGCGACTTAATTAAAAGTTCTCCACGCCGCAATAAAAGCCCACACGAATGGAAACCGAATGAATTCCTCCCCCATTTGGACACTTTGCAAAGTGCGTAAAAAGTACATTGCTTTTTGTTGTCCCTGAACTCAAATTGTAAACTGTAACCAGAGCGACGACAGCCAACGATACGAGCACAAAAGTAGCACTGGCATCGATACCTATGGCACCCCTTGGCTCGGAATAGAGAAGCTAAATGCCCACAGTGGTCACTCTGCAATAGTTGCCTTGAATTAACTACAAGTTTAAGCTTCGATTAAGCTAAGACTTGAGGTTAATTAAGGAATTACACACTTGGCAAGGTTGTTTTGTAGTCTAAAAACAACATAAAATCGCTTTGGAAAATTCTTTTATTATTAAGCTTTAATGTATATGCATTTTCTGGAAATTTAAAGGCCTTGAAAAACCCATTTTAACCACGTCAAATATTTATTTTTAAAGCTTATCTCCATTTGGAATTTCCAACCAAGAATTTATGAAGCCAAAAGCATAAACAAGATAGCAAACTGAATTAAAAATCCTTGATAACTAGGCCAAAAATGCATTAATTTTAATTCGGAAAACTTTCCTATGGCAGTTTTTGTTAGTTTAATAAATATACATACTCAGCTTAAAATCTAAAAATATTAAAAAAATGTTGCTAAATTTCAACGATGTAACCCCTAATAAAATTTTAAATATTTAAAAAAAAATTAAATTTCAGCCTGACATAGCTAGATCGACTCGGCTTCTGACTGAATGTATAAGACTCTGCAAGGGTATATATACAGGTGAGTATAAGTTCTTTGAGACCTGATACTAAAAATTCAAAAGATTGAATAATAATATATTTATAACAGAATAAAATACATTTTCCACGAAAATTATATGTAATATAAATCTACGGAAACCTAGGCCACTTCTAAGAAACAAATAATAATCACAACTCAGCACAGTAATCACTTTATATACCACAAAGTTCTATGCAAATTTGCATCGAAAGTACATAAATATATGTATAGTATATGAAATATATGATAAGTAACATTCATAAATGGTGGTTGATTTTCCCCAAGTATGCGTTTGCATAGGGATTTCCGCTTATCAAGAGTCCTCAAAGAGACCACACCAGGCCTACACTGTGCTATATATCTGAAAACAAGTCATCGCCAGACGACTCTCCCCCATGATGATGATTTATTTCGAGTTGAGACGCCATAAAGTGCATAATCGATACAGTTCTGCAGTTTATCGCCTCCCGGAAGTTAGTGCCAACGCTATATATCTCCCTCGGAAATTGAGCAGAAGTTGTGCGGAAAATGACGCATTACAAGAGGGAAAAACAATCGGGAAACTAGCAAGTCTTGTAAAAAACACAGAAACTGAAACACATTGCGTGAGCCAAGATAAAGTGTGGGCGTGGGATGTAAACTAACGCTATAAACATGAGCTTTTAATGAACAATATAAACATATATTCATGCATCTTATATACAGTATTTAATCGCACTTGGGTCTGGGGCTTTCGGATGGACCTTATCGTTTTGGGAAGTCTGAGTATGTGACGTCTTGGTACGAATTTGTTTACATTTGCATATATTTTGATTCCGCAGAAACTCGCTCGCTCTGCTGCTCTGCTGAATCAGTTTGTGAATTTGTTTATACAAATTGGCAGCGTGTTAAACAGCAAAATTCAATGCGTGACTCAGATTTGCTTTCGATTCCAGAATGCTTTGACTGTTTTAATTAAAGCAGGTTCAGGTTTTGAGCTTTCAATTTGCAGTTTAAGTTTAAGTTTAGGTCGTCGCAAATGCCAAAAGGCGCTGCTTTTAGCCGGTTTTTTGTTGTTTTATTACAATTTTCAAAGTTCCCTGAGTGAAGAAGATGAAGTAAAAGGTCGGGCATTTGCATTAAAAAATTGTTTTAAGCTTGTAGACAATTTAATAGAGTACGTGTGCGTGAGCAAATCTGATATAGAATCCTAATAAAAAGAAGTAGAATAAATGAAGTCATGTAGCTTCACATTTTTGTGCGATTAGAATAGGTCTGATCTAGTGTGTTTTTTCACTTGACAATGTCACGTCTCTCTGGATTCATGTTCTACGATTGTTTAAAGGAAGTTCATAGAGAAAACTTAAACACATTCTATTTCGTAATCCTCTTCCATATTCACAATCTAATTTGGTCTTTCCTCTACTTATAAACAAGTTGTATAACGTCAGTTAAAAATTGTTTCCGTAGACAATCTTATTATCCATATACGAAATCGCATTAGCTAATCACAGACCAAAAAGTCAGTCTGTCTGCCATTTGTGGCTTATTTCCCAGACTGCCTGGAGTTGTGTAGTGTCTTTTTCTGTCTTTGGTCTTTGCTGCATTTACAATTGCAGAACACGTTCGCAGTTGCCATAATGCAGGCAGGCTGGGTTTCTTTTGACAATTTGCCAAATCCCCCAAAGCTCTGACCCAGATGAAGAGGAACTGCTTTAAGGGAAGGAAGACAATGTACTAAAATCCCAGCAATAGCAACTAATGCAATTGCAAATTCGAAAGGTAAACAAAATTGGAAAGCAATTACAGTGATTCAGCCTCACCTCGGCTGAGTAAAGAGTTGAATCAGTCCGGAGACCGACACAGGTGCTTGCCAAATTCCATTTAATCAGCATGAAGAAGGAAAAGAGATAACTTGGATGAGCCCGGGAGATAAGTTATCATGGCACTGGCCCTACGTGCCATGTGCCTGAATTTAAATAACAATTCTAGAGATTTAATCTAACAACACATTGCGCAATAGGTGGCTGCGGTTGATCGGGCGACACTTGAGACAACCCCTATCACTAAAACGATCCACCGCAAGACTAGGAAGCCGGGGAAGAGGCCTTAGAGCCCCCTCGGTGGCAAGGTGTCGTCGTGGTCGTCAGCGGTTGACGTCGTCGGATGGTAATGCGAAACCAGGCACAAGTACGGCCCGAATACAGGTGATCTTCGATAACCGAAATGCTATCTTGTTTAGCAACATAAGTAATATTTAAGATCAAACGGAACCCTTAAAACAATTTAGTTAAACGGTTTTTAAGTCCATTTGATTTTTTGGATCTAAGTTGAGCCTTTCTTTTTACGCCCTTCCAAAAGGAACTTATACAGGAGCGATTCCTTTAAGACTCAAGGAGTTAGGGAAAGAATATCAAGTAACTAAGGTTGATTATTAAAAAGGATCGTTTAAAATTCCACAAATATTTAGGAAATTCTAACATGTTTGCAATTGAGGAATTTCCTTTAGAGAAGTTCAACTGTAGCCCCACTAATGAAATCCAACTGAAAGTGTTGGGGCAGAAAACAGCTCTTGAGTCATGATCCGCGCGACGGGAGCACGACTTGGGGTATAAGCAAGCGACTGTGACACTCTGTGAGTCATGCCCCATTGCACCTGGGTAAAGTAGGGAGGAGAAAAGGGGGGTAGCCGGGGTGGGCGGGCAGTAACCGAGGAGGTGCCCGCAGTAAATGCAATTTAAATGGCCATTAGGCGCATGAGTTTTATGTTTTGCCATGGCAACTAATGAGACGCAAATGCGGTGCAAAGGTGCCTGGGAAAGTGGCTGTGCGGCAGGTGAAAGGAGCCGCCAAGGAGAAGGCGGCGAGTGACATAAAGAAATGGAAAATTCAATTATAAAACGCAACGAATAATTAAATCAGTCCTGAAACGCTTTAAACCTTAAGTATTTGATGTAGAATTTAAGTTACTCTGTCATAGTTTTGTTATTTTAAAACCCAAAATAAACAAATAAGACTTCAGAATATTTGGCCTTGGACTTACGTATTGAAGGTCTTCTGGTAGTCCTTGATCTGCTTCCGGGAGAACTCATGGAATTCGGTGTAGACATTCACAACCTTGAAGGTGCGCGGTATCTCAATGCCCGCCTCCTGCGATTCCATGATCTCCTGCCGCCGGTTGAGAATGTGCGTCAGCTCGGAGCTGTCCGTGTTCGTCGCGGTGCTGGGGCTGTCCACACTGTCGTTCCGCGAAGCGGACGAGGCGTTCGATGAGACGGACATCTTGACTTGCGATTCTGTTGAATTATTTATTCTCGTTCTGTGCTGGAATTTTTCGCTTTCACGTTTTTTGGCAACTCCCACGCGCAAAAACAAGGACAGCAGCCAAACAGCGACGTCGGGATACACACACAAAGACAGCGGGGATGCGCCAGAAAAAACACACACACACGCACTCTGTGGCACTTCAAGCTTAAAAAGGGTGCGCGGCCTTGACTCCTGGGTAGGCTTTTAATTAAATGTTGTCAATGACGCTAAAAAGCCGGGTCTGGTTTGGTCCGCCACTGCAGGTTGTCTTATTGTGAAAAACTTCTTCGCTCTTTACGCGGCTTTTGACTGCGAACGTTGAAAATCGAATAGTAAGACCGTGAGCCGCGCCGTCAAAATATACTACCGGTGCGGGTGCGCTTTGTAAACAGGCCGTATCAGGCGCAAAATACCAAAACGCCATGTGAGCCGATAGTAACGACTTTTAAACTGCCTGTCCATTTTTCAACTATCGCACGAAGAAAAATAGAGTGTTGAAAAGAATTATGTGGCAAGCAAATTGGAAATTTCGAAATTTTTAATAAAAATAACAATTTTGTTTTTTTTTATGAATTCTAAAAATTTAAATAAAATATCGTTCAAAACTTAGTGATATCGCCGAAATGGTATATCGATGTTTTGGCTGCACACATATCATCTCTAAGTTAGAGGTGGAGAACTATCGATAGTCGTCGCCATCGATAGTGAGCGATTATTTTTCTCAAACCATCGATAGTGTCGATAGTACTATCGGTAGTGTTATGCTTTTGAATTTTTAGATGTAAAAAAGCTATAAAATGAAATTTGAACAAAACTTTATTATATTTTTAACTCTTTAAAAATAAAAAATTAATTTATTTATTTATTTTTTTGATTAGGGATTGTATAAAAAGTACATCGTCGAACTGTGTATTCGAGCGGAAAAGAAGTACAAAACTAATTCTTTTTTAAAAAGAGCATTAGGAGATTTTTACTTTCAGCTATACTTTAGCTTTTCACTATATTTTGGCGTTCCACTTTCAACTTTATTTTTTCTTTGTGATGTGATAAGCCGCGTGCAAAACTATCGATAGTGCAGGGCTGCCATCGATGGCGGTGCGATAGCGCCAAACCATCGATAGTGTCGATAGTGCCATCGATAGCTCTCCACCTCTACTCTAAGTGTGCCCGCATCGGCGAATTAGCAAATTTTGTAGAAAATTTTTGTGCCGCCTGTGATTGTAAATTGTAATTGTTTAATAAAAAAGAATGGCTAAACTGTTTAATAAACTCTTGCTGATTGCCGGATTCGCCAGCCTGGCCCATGCCGCTTTTTCTGCTGCCCACCGTGAGTTTAAAGCGTTAAATTTTGAATAAATAAACTTTGGACTGCGCACGGCTAACGCAGTTATTAATTAATTCCCACAGATCGCACCTACTTGCGGCTGACGGAGCAGGAATGGACTAGTCTGCCTTTGGATGTGAGCCCACTATTATCCCTTTTAGTTAAGCATTGTAAATGACCCCTAAAATCTCTTTAAGATCATCTTGCAAACCGTCATCAGCTTGGTGATTGTGATATACAATATCATCGAGGTGGTGGGCAACTTCAAGGAGATCCGCGCCACCGTGGACATGCAACAGAAGACATGGGACACACTGGGCAACTTCCCTTCGTTCTATTCCTTCAATCACCGTGGACGTGCCTTGAACCCGGGCTATACGCTGCAGGAATAGAAGGCATTTTCGAATCCGAATCGGAATCCCTTTAAGGTTGCTGCTATATAATTTAATTTTTTAGTCACACCCCTGATACAAGATAATAATAATGCTAAATATCAACCAAATATCTTGTTGAAACCATCCAAATTCCCAATAGCAAAGCCGTACTTCCCAAGAGCTGCGAAGACTGCGAGGAACTCCTGGCCATCAGCAGCGCCATTGCCTTGGCTTCCATCTCATAAGCTGCTTTTAGATCACTACCCGGACTGTTATTGCAGGCTTGTGTGTGGCAGATGCGACAGTTATCGTGGTGGCTACTCCTCAACAGACACTCATAGTAAAGACCCGGATCGGAGCGACATCCTCGGACAACCTGCTGACTGTGAGTGTCGAAGTACTCCAAGCAGGCCAAAGCTTGATTCTCCGGTTCGTTGGCCTGCACAGCGCAAGGCAGGGCCGTTTGTCCCCTTTCGATCTTCTCGCAATCATGGTCACCGGTTCCATTACACTGATGACACCAGAGACGCTGCTCCGGAAAGGCACCTTTGTTGCAGAAACTGCCCTCACAGGTGCGACAATTGGCCACTTGGGCGGAGTTGCAGGAGAAATCCTTTCGCTGACAGCCTCTCTCGGTGGTGCCGTTGCTGTAGGAGAGTGCCAGGCAAGGGGCTGCTATGTCGTCACACTCTTCGATGTAGATGTTTCCCGGTCGCTCCCAATTGGCGCACCCAGCTCCCGCCTCGTCCGTGCTGCAGCGATAGCAGCGTGTGAAGGTTTTGTTGTTGCACCCGCCTTGTTCGTCGCACTCATAGCAGCGCGTTATTCCAGGATTATTGGGCGCTGCACCACATCCTCTCTGCAGGCTCCAGTCGGAATACTCACAGACGAAGCAATCGGAGGCCTCAGCGGAGCCACAAGTAGTGCTGCTTATGGTGCTCACATTCGTCCGGCAAAGCTCCTGATTCAGGCTATTGCAGGTCAGACACTTCTGCTGTGGAATGCAGCCGGCATTGCAGTTGCTCTCGCTGCTCCTACATTTTTCCAGCTCATCCAAGTGAGGCTCTAGATCAGCCGGAATCTGCGTGGAGCAGCCTCTGACCACGCGGCTCAGCTTTCGGTAGCTGAAACAGTACTTGTCGTCGGGTTCACCCAGGAGCACCTCCTGCTGGCACTCCTCGTATAAGCTCACATTGCACTTGCCGCTGTTCACCTGAAAGAGATCCATCTTGCAGCCCCTCCCAGCTTCAGAGTCACAGCTTGCGCAGATCTGCATTCGTGCTCCCGGCTCCTCGTTGCAACCATTAATTTCGCAAAGAACGGCAGCACTGGAGAGCGTGTGATTCTGCTCGGAGACGCAGCCCCTGTACGCATCTGAGGAACTTATGACATCCGTGTAGCATTGATCCTCTTCCAAGTGATAACGACAGGGCTTAGGTTTCGCCCCGGGGGGAGCCACACAATCCGGGCCAGCGCAGTGATGGCACTTCAGGCGTCCGGGCGGATAGACTCCGGCGTTACAAAGATTGGAGGAGCAGGTCTTGGAGTATGTGGCTCCGATGGTGGGCGTAACTGATCCACAGCCACGATACGTGATGGAGTCAACTAAATGAAGGAGGAGCAGTGACTAAGAGATTCTTAAAAGTTTCACGCTTTCGTGGAATGCAAAAACAGATTTATTCACTCCACGACTAAAAATAGAGTTAATGACACTCACCTATGGACATGGTACACGTCAGCTCCGTGGGACAGTCCACATAAGGCAGAACGCCCACCTCGCCAAGGGTCTGGGAACATTCCGGCAAAGCAATTGAATCACAATGATAGCACACAATGGCCCAACTGCAGCCTATTATTGGAAATTCATTTCAAAGTGAGCCACGCATTATTTTGCTGGGAGGATTAGCAAGTGTCTCTCACCTGTTAGCAGAAGGATCAAGAGCAGGTGGAAAAGCACTTGGTGCGTGGTGACCACCTTAAGTTGCAGCATTTTGCCAGCTTAGGAGAAAGGTAAACTAATATATTGCACCTTTGTTGGCCGTTTGAAAGGTATAATCTTTTTATGACTTATCAGGCAGTATAACAAAGAGTTGATATAGTGGCCAAGGGTGATAAGGATAAGCTTAGAAATGAAATTTTTAAGAATAAGGTAATTTTGCAGCAAGATACAGTTCACATATAATGGATTTACCAAATCCGTTTGTCCGTTACCTCGTATCTCTGATACTATAAAACCAAGAGCTATCGAATTTGGTAATAAAATTGTAGGCATGTGTCGAACCTTTCCCAACAAAAGCTGTTGTTCCAGCATGTGTGCATATAATGCCGCCCCATAATGTCATAACCATAATGTATCCGGTCATATGTGCCGTGACCCCATTATCGTAGTGTCCCATCGGATCCATCAAAAGGTTCGCATCATCAATAATTCACCAGCTCGCATTTGCTGCAGGATTTTTAGGGAGTCAAGGGTTCCCCCCGTTGGGATATCGATTTAATTTAGAGTCCAGGGGATAATTGCGTGACAATCAGCGGATTCGAGAAGGTAGGACACTATTGACCACCGGGCCACACAGTTGGCAGCAAAACATCTGCGGAACAACAAGCTCATCGGAGCAAATAAAATTGAATATTTGCCAAGCTCTTCAGAGATAGCGAAATATACTGGTCCGAACAGATTCTGATAAGCTCTGATAAACTCCAGTGGATATATTTTATTGTCCACCGTTTCAAGTTAAAGGGTTAACGAAGCTTCAACTGATCGGTTGACCACAATGCGGATGCGACTCCTCGTTATTTGGATCACCTTAACGGCTCTTCTTCAATGGAGCAGGGCTCAGGAGGATACTAGCTTGAGTGGAGGCGTTGAGGGTCCGGATGCAGATGAAGAGAAGCCTCCGAAAATTATGGAAGATAAGAATACTTCTCCATCAACAGATCTGCCTGAAGTAGAATCTCTTATAGATAGAGCTACAGAGCCTCCAGTAGGAGAAGAGGATCGTCATCAATCTGGAGAGGAGAAAAAAGAGGAACCTGTAGGCTTTGGCATGGGTACCCAGGATATGCCCTCTGATGGCAGTCAGATTTCCGTGATGTCAGAAGAGGAAACAACGGCAGACAGTACATTGGCTCCACCAAAAGAAATTGAAGGTCAAGAAAAACCCACCAACCCAGAACCTTCCTCCTCTGAAGCAGACATACTCAAAAAAGCACAAACTTCACCTGTACGAGGCACTGTAGCAGGGCCACCCGATTACCAGGACGATACTCCCTTCGAGAACAATAGTGTCCCGGTGGAAACCACGACGGCCGCCTCAACTCCTGCTCCGGTACATCCTCCGCCGGGCTGCTACTCGTGCATCAACTGCAATGCAACGGTAACCGATGCCCAGAAAGCCGACTGCAAGACAGGTTCTGGAAATCGGAATGGATGCTATACGATGCTCGTGAATGACCAAAATCTTTTGCCGGACAAAAAGAATTACGTGGAGCGTGGATGTACATCCGAACTGACCGAAGCCTTCTTTAGCTACTGTAGGGACCACAAGGAGCTGTGCAAGATGTGCGATACCAACTACTGCAATGTCCACGACATGACGTCGCTACAGGTGACGACCGCAGGGACGACCTCAATTTGCCTGCTGAAGTCCCTCCTTATCGGGAGCATCGGCTTGGTCAGCTGTTTGCGGCGACAGGTGTTCTACTAAACTAAGCTACTCTGAGTCACGACAATTAAAAACTACAAAACAGAAAGCTAATGGGACTTAAAAATCGATAAAAACGCATGAGTAATGTTTCGGTTGAGGGAAGCCCTGTGCCATCCCAGATAATGATCTATTTATCAGTTCAAAACTTTGTATCTGTAAATATTTTATAATAAAATAATAATAATAAACGATGCACATGATTAACCTCATTTGTAAGGCTTTAAATATGGGTTTAAATAATTCTGTAATAAAAAGTTTTGTGAGAAGGCGTTTGCAAAATTTCATTAACATCGTAATATAAAAAAAGAACTTATTTGAAAACAAAGTTAATGAATATGCTAAGCCTTTGCAACATTGATGTATTGGCAGCAAGATTGGTGTTGCTAGCAATGTATCTAGCAACATATTTCTAGCAACATTATTCGTGCGTTTCATAATGTTAGACTTACTGTAACTAAAAATGTGAATTTTTCGTTATTAATGGGTTGTTTCGAAGTTCTTATTACAAAAACTTTTCTTCATTTATTTAAAAAAATAATCTTTACCTTTTCCCTTTATTATATAAAATAATATAATGTCCAGGGAAATGCAATACTACGTAAAAGGTTTAAAAAATTATATAAGTTTATTACACTTTCTCTTTGTTTTGAACTAAATGCGTAATTTACACCACGTTCACTACATTAAAAATTTATGGCATAATGGTTCGGGGATTTTGGGACCTATTTACATTTAATCATGGTTACATTTCCCCTGAGATCTGAAGAAAATACTTCAATAAAAGGATATCTAATCAGCAAAACTCTCAGTTATTAGTTAAATAGCTCGCAAACAATACGAACATAAGCAGCTCCATTGGATTGGTAAAACTAAGACAATGAGCATTTATATTCCGCATATAAATATATTTAGTTTCAAAATATTTTTCAGCTATACTTTGATAATGATGAGGCTTCTCCTTATATGCTTAACATTATTAGCCCTGCTACAGTGGTTTGAAGCACAGGAAAATAACCGAACGTTGGACTTTCCAGCGCCCGAGGATCAGCAAGTAATATTCTCCAAAAGAGAAAATAAAGTTAATGAATCAGGAGAACCAGAAATCAAACCAGAAAATGAAACGGCTCACCAACAATTTCCGCCCATTAGATGCCTGGGCTGTGACGGATATTGCGATAGTTATGAAGATGGTAAAGACGAAAATGGGAAGGGAAATCGGTTGTGTGAAATAGAGCTGGGTGTTCTCCATGGTTGTATATCCATATTTATGTTTGGCCTTAAAAGGAAGTGTGTAACTGAAATGAGTATGGAAGAAGAATTGTATTGTCAAGAACATACGAATCTTTGCGTAAAGTGTTCTAAGCCTGATTGTAATTATGTGAACGTGACCATAAATGGGCTTCAGCCTACCGGATCTGCTCCTTTAAGGACCCCGTTTCTTTGGCTCCTTGGCACCTGCTTAATCGCTGGACTACCAGTCCAGTGAATAATGAGTGCAAAAGGGAATAATTTAAATTGCTACTTAAATAAATATTGAATCAAGGATAGATAGAACAATAATGGCGACAAGAAAAATGAATTATTAATTGATCAATATATTGAATGCATAGCTGATTTCTTTGTTAATTTGCACTACTTTTTAAGATACACCGAACAGCTTTTTCAGAATTAACCTATATTATAAGCTTTATTTGCATTCCTGATGTCCGATGTTTTTCACCTTTCTAAATCCTAATTACTGGCCTTGCCGAATATTGTAAACAATTTTTAATAATTAATTAAAGACAAATCATAGTAGATATTGTGTATATGCCCAGAGTCATAGCACCTGCAGGCCTACGGTCATTTATTTAGGCCGTTAACGCTTTCCGAAATAAATAAATATTAAATGCATATAACAAAAAACAATCGAGTTAAGTTTTTGTGACATAACACGCAATAGTGCACTTTCGGCATTGATAAATCCACACTAAAAAATAAGGTACACACCATAAATTATTAATTCTTTAGATAATGCTTAAGGGATGTTGGGATCTGTGTACATTTAATCATTGGTTAATGTTCCCTCGAGATCTTTAGTAAGTAGTGTATTTCAATCAACAAATAGAAGGACTTCAGTTCTTAAAAGATATTTTATCAAAGCTACTCTTAGTTGTTAAAGATATACCTACCGAGCTATACAGAAAAAAGGAGCACTACCGAATTGGTAAAAATAGATAAAGAAATTTATACAAAACTTAATTTTAAGTGTATTTCAGACAGAGCTGGATAAAAATGAGGATTCTCCTACTATGTATGACATTTATTGCTCTCTTGCAGCAGATTTTAGCTCAGGAAAATGTTCAAAATGATTCCGAAATTACCAACGAATCAGAAGACGAACCATTCCATAGATGCTTTGGCTGTGACCCATGCAAGGACTTTGATGATGGGAAAGATGAAAAGGGCAAAGGGTCTAGAGTGTGTTCCACAGAGGACCATGAACTCGATGGTTGTATATCTATGTATATGTCTGGCTTAATAAGGAAGTGTATCTCCGACATGAACATGGTCGAAGTATCCTATTGTGACAAGAATGAGGATCTTTGCGTCAAGTGCTATGGCCCCGATTGCAATGTCCACAATTTCACAGACTTTTTGGTCTTGACAGGCGGATCTGATCCTTTCAGGACCTCCTGTTTGCTTCTTAGCCTCAGCTTGATCATTTTGCTCCTAATGAGTAAGTAGTGCTACTGTAATGAGTCATGCGAAAGGAAAGCCACTTGGACTTTGGGTCACATAAAAATATTGATTTTTGCAACGAAGATAAATTGGAAAAAAGGTAGATAATTCTAATTGGAAACAATGTAAACAAATAAAGGAAATGTACTTAATGCTTATCGGCTTTCTATAAAGAATGCTAATATATTTTATAGCTGTATGTATACTATGGTTGGTATACTATACATAAATAACAATTGAAGTCACTCAATAAATTTAAATTTTAAATTTTATTTAAATATTTCGTATTTATTGGACTTAGATTGAATAACGCTGAAAATAATTTAATTTTATCAAGTCATTTGTTTCCTAGAAATATTTAGCAATGACTCATTTTGGCCTAGCCAAACTATGAAGAAATTGTTAAGGAGTTCATTAATAAGATTTATATATTTAAAGTTAAACAAATGAATATATGCGTTACACTATTGCTTTGGAAACTTGGTATTACAACTTTTCCGATTCTGATTCTAGTCTATATGCATCTTTTTTCTAACAAAAGCATTGCGCATTAAAATGAAATTCAAAAGTTGATAAGTGCCTTTCATTATCTGATATTGTATTGATTTAACAAGTTCGATAAGCTGCAGGTGGGTTAAGGAAAAAGTACCTTGAAGTAAGGTTATACATTTGTATATCGAGAGTATCTCGGTTAAAATCGTTGATGGAATCGTGGACTAAATTTATTTATTTAATACCGAAAAATATTGTGTTTAATTTTTAAGCATTATTTAAAGTATATTTGTGTGATATATAAAATTCTACATATAATCATCGAAACCTTATTGATTTTTGTATCACTCAAATATCTCTATCGAGTTTCTCTTAATTCTACTTTGAAGTGATCTTTAAGGTTTTGAATTGCAAAGAACTTGCTCAAAATAAAGTGTAAATTGAAAGCAATATTATGTATAGTATAGATTATTTATTGTTTATTTGGTTTCACTAACTTCGAAATTAGTATTATTTTGTTATTGATCTGATCATAGATCTGACAATGGTGTTTGGATTTATCCTATCCAATTTAGGCACTCCGCAGGACGACCAACAGGCCCAGGAACAGACCGACCACGCCCATCTGACTGAGGGAGCTGGCTCCATTCAACTTTACATTGTTGCAAAGTGAAGTCTTGCAGGTTTCACACCCATAAGGCTGCACCTTATTCTCGCACTGATATTGCATCAGTTCACTGCCAGCGGTCAGGCAGTCGCGGACCCCAAGGCCATCTAGTGAAAATAGCAACAAAATTGGAAATTAGCCGGATAATGTGATATATGTATATAAATATTTATATATATATATTTGCGGTACTCACTCCAAATTCCGCTGAAGCAGGTCCCGTTGGGACAGGCCACTTTTGGTATGTCCGTTCCTGTGCCGCTCCAGCAGCCGGACACCTCGCTCGTCAAGCATGCGAGGCACTGGAACTCCTGGCCGGCAGTGTTGCAATTGTCTCCGGTGCAGGACGTGCATGTGGTGGCATCCGTGCAGCCACCCTCCAGACTGCCCAGGCATCCGCGGGCGCCCGCCGTGGTGGTGTAACAGCCGGAGGAGGCCTGGTTGTAAAGGAGCGTGCATGCCGCCGCCTTGCTGGTGTCCTGAGATCCGGCACAGTCGGTGCACGTGATGCAGGATCCCTCTGTCCGCTGGTAGGTCACCTTGTTGCACTGACTCGCATCGCAGATGGCGCAGCTGGTGTCCGTGGTGTCAGCCGGACACTTGTACGCTAGCGAAGTGTCTGCGGTGCAGCCACGGGTCATGTTGGTGGCACTCGTGCCGGTGGTGAAGCACTTGGAGCTATCGGTGGCACAGGCCGAGAGCATGGCGGCCGCCACGGTGTTGCATGAGTCGCCGGTGCAATTGTAGCAGACGGCATTCGTGTTGCATTTGTCCCCATTGCAAGTCTGACAATTGGTTTCGGTACAGGTGGTTTCGCTAGCGAAGCAGCCACGGGTGACCGTTCCCTTACCATCTATAATTGGTAAGAAGAAATATTAATATATGTATCAATCTATCTACTCTAAAAAAAGGGAGAGATAGCAAAGAAATCCGTAGATGAATCATCCCCAAACAGAAAAGCGTCCAACCTAATATATACTTATTATATTATCAAATCCTGTGTTGAGGGATCATCGATATCAATAGTATCAACGAGATAATCGCTATCGCCGACCATATGTCTGATAAGAGAGTTATGGCCAGGCTTTTTCCCCTTTGTTTCCATTGTGTATTTATGTGTACATACATACATATGTACATAAACCACTATATGAACCTCTAAGAATTCGAAATAGTCGCGGATGAGTCATGGTAGGAACTCACCCGTGGAGGTAAAGCAATTGCCATTGGGGCAATCCACAGTGCTTTGGCCACTTGCATTCGTTATGCAGTTTTCATTTTCCGTCGAAGTGCAGTTAAAACATTCTGATGAAAATTCGAGAGACAAATTCCAAGAAGAATTAGGAGGAAAACTGAAGGAATAAGAGTATAAACTTACGTATGGCCAAGCTGGTGTCCAGCTGGCTGAAAACGAGGGTCGTTATCACAGCGATTATTAGGTTGAGGCCCCTCATGGTTCTCGTTCGCTTGGTATGTAAAGTTTCCTCCACCGACTGTTCGGATCGACCGACTTTGGTTAACTGAACGGACTCCCACGGCATTTGGCCGTGCTGCCCCCTATACACCTAATCAATTTCACCTGAGCACACACCGGTAGGCAGGCAGCTCTCCGGATGCAATGCTTATCTTTTGTGGCTCTCTTTTTCGCTGATAAACTTCAATACGATAGTATATATATATCTGTGTAATTATATATTTTAAAATACATACAATTATATAAAGTAATCACAGTGAGGCTATAGTTGAAAGCTTTTTAACACACTATTTTCTACTGTTTTTAATGGTATTTTGATCTATTGCAGAAGTAAATATTTTACGATTTTAAAAAGCACTTTCAGACCAATGAGCCAACATTCTTAACCCATTAATATCTAGTTCACTGAAAGCTTTTAACTATATTCTACCAAGAAGCTTTCTGTGGGAACAGTATCTGTTTTGCTTGGTTTTGCCGGTTTGTGTCTATAGTGTGATTTAACGGAGGTATGCTTTCAAAGGGACTATAAAATCGATCTTAAAACTGATATAAAAATGCAATCTTAGCTTTTGTGAAATACTTAATTGAATTTACTAAACATACATCAAAGTTTAATTGAAAATTTCAAGGCTAAAAAATAATAGTAAGTTCGCATAAAGAAAATGAATATGGTGTGTCCATTTTTACAAATTTATAGATTTTATAATATTTTTTAATGAACGCAGGGCTCTTGAAACTAATTGGAGATACCCTTTGAGAGTATTATATACTATAAATATTTGATCCATAAACAAACTTATTCCCTTTAATGAACAACAAAATATATTTTATAATACATTTTACATTATTTCCCCCTTTGTTCGTTTATATTATTTAAATGTACCAAGTAGACTACCGATTACACTTCTTTTATGTATCGACATAAGAAGTGACTTCTGACCCTATAATTCATATATATTCTGGATCAGCATCAACAGCCAAATCTTTCTAGTTATATCCGGGCAAAAAATTTTTTTTCAGAAATTTCCCATTTTCTAAAAAAAGGGGTTAGGTTACATCATGAAAATTTGCGAAAATCGGACAAAAATGCACATTTTAAATGGAGTATGCAGTTTTATTAATCTGCTGAAAATGATCATACGACCGCTTTCAGAATTAAATTTAATGCATTTTTGGCTTTATTTTTTATTAACCTGCTAAAAATTAACCCACAAACGCTTTCCAAAATGAAATTAATGCATTTTCGGCTTAGTTATGAATTTTTTAAATTTTGATTTACCGAACAAATTTCATATAAAAATGTAGTTAACATCGATGAAAAAATGGTATTGCCCCTTCAGTCAGAAGCTTAAAAGAAAGTGAAGATGGCATTTCCGACCCTATAAATCATATATATTCTTGATCAGCATCAACAGGGGAATCTTTCTGGCTATATTCGGACGAAAAAATTTTTTTCCGAAATTTCCCATTTTCTAAAAAAAAGGAAAGGGGTTACATCATGAAAATTTGCGAAAATCGGCCAAAAATTCACTTCTTAAATGGAGTATGCAGTTTTATTAACCTGCTATAAATTAACATACAAACGCTTTCCGAAATGAAATTAATGCATTTTCGGCTTAGTTATGAATTTTTTAAATTTTGATTTACCGAAAAAATTTCATATAAAAATGTAGTTAAAATCGATGAAAAATTGGTATTGCCCCTTCAATCAGAAGCTTAAAAGAAAGTGAAGATGGCATTTCCGACCCTATAAATCATATATATTCTTGATCAGCATCAACAGGGGAATCTTTCTGGCTATATTCGGGCAAACAAATTTTTTTCCGAAATTTCCCATTTTCTAAAAAAAAGGAAAGGGGTTACATCATGAAAATTTGCGAAAATCGGCCAAAAATTCACTTTTTAAATGGAGTACGCAGTTTTATTAACCTGCTAAAAATTAACATACAAACGCTTTCCGAAATGAAATTAATGCATTTTCGGCTTAGTTATGAATTTTTTAAATTTTGATTTACCGAACAAATTTCATATAAAAATGTAGTTAACATCGATGAAAAAATGGTATTGCCCCTTCAGTCAGAAGCTTAAAAGAAAGTGAAGATGGCATTTCCGACCCTATAAATCATATATATTCTTGATCAGCATCAACAGGGGAATCTTTCTGGCTATATTCGGGCAAAAAAAATTTTTTTCTGAAATTTCCCATTTTCTGAAAAAAAGGAAAGGGGTTACATCATGAAAATTTGCGAAAATCGGCCAAAAATTCACTTTTTAAATGGAGTATGCAGTTTTATTAACCTGCTAAAAATTAACATAAGAACGCCTTCCGAAATGATATTAATGCATTTTCGGCTTAGTTATGAATTTTTTAAATTTTGATTTACCGAACAAATTTCATATAAAAATGTAGTTAACATCGATGAAAAAATGGTATTGCCCCTTCAGTCAGAAGCTTAAAAGAAAGTGAAGATGGCATTTCCGACCCTATAAATCATATATATTCTTGATCAGCATCAACAGGGGAATCTTTCTGGCTATATTCGGACGAAAAAATATTTTTTCCGAAATTTCCCATTTTCTAAAAAAAAGGAAAGGGGTTACATCATGAAAATTTGGGCCAAAAATTCACTTTTTAAATGGAGTACGCAGTTTTATTAACCTGCTAAAAATTAACATACAAACGCTTTCCGAAATGAAATTAATGCATTTTCGGCTTAGTTATGAATTTTTTAAATTTTGATTTACCGAACAAATTTCATATAAAAATGTAGTTAACATCGATGAAAAAATGGTATTGCCCCTTCAGTCAGAAGCTTAAAAGAAAGTGAAGATGGCATTTCCGACCCTATAAATCATATATATTCTTGATCAGCATCAACAGGGGAATCTTTCTGGCTATATTCGGGCAAAAAAAAATTTTTTCTGAAATTTCCCATTTTCTGAAAAAAAGGAAAGGGGTTACATCATGAAAATTTGCGAAAATCGGCCAAAAATTCACTTTTTAAATGGAGTATGTAGTTTTGTTAACCTGCTAAAAATTAACAAACGCTTTCCGAAATGAAATTAATGCATTTTCGGCTTAGTTATGCGATTTTTAAATTTTGATTTGTTGTAAAATTTGCATATAAAAATATAGTTAATTCCGACAATAAAATTAGTTTCAGTGGAGTTCCCTAAAGAAGTGGTTTAGGAATGAAAATTTTCTTTGCATCTGATATCAAACACTTTACTGTCTTTAATAAATAACTATAAATTTATTGTTTTTGGCAATTTATTTTGATTTTTTATTTATTAAATAGAAAGTACGAATCACCTAATAAACATACATATATTACAAAGGCACTCCAAATGCCAAACTTCCAACTTCCAAATGGGATACTTTCTCAGCCTCACAGAAGGCTTTTTAGTCCCAGACCCACAATCAGGATCATTGCACCCAAGGATACCTGGAGGCTGGTGCTTCCGTTGCACTTGTCCGTCAGGCAGACGTCGCACTCATCGGCGACGTCCTGCATCAGGCCGAGCTCCTCCCTCACAGCCTGGCAGGCGCCCTGGCCTTCAGGTACGCGAATACAGCCTCGATGGATCTCTGTGGAGACAAAGAAAATGATTGGATTTAATTTCTAAAGATTAAATTAAAAAAATATTAAGATATAATAACAAAAATTGCCAAAAAGTATGCTAAAAAAAACTGAAAGCGCGTGAGCGTTTAAATCTTGTAAGAAAAATAACTTTGTTCAATTCTAAAGATATAGTGTTCGGTGTCCACTCACCTCCCTGCTTGATAATGCTATAGCAGGCAGCAACCTTAATGGTGGCATCCGTATCCCTTTGATTCCGAGCAATGGTTCTGTAGTTCCGTAGGAGCACATCTGTGGCCTGGGCGGCCAGACTACGGCGACGACGACTTACGGTTCTATCAAATTTAGCGGGAGTCTCTGTAGACTCGCTGGAAGAATCTGTAGTTTCGCTGGGCGACGAAGTGGGAGAATCGCTTGTTGAAGAATCCGTGGGCTCACTGGGAGAAACGCTTGACGAATCTGTAGACTCGCTAGAAGAATTGCTCGTTGAGGAATCTGTAGATTCGCTTTGAGAAACAGATGAAGAATCTGTAGACTCGTTTGTTGATGAATCTGTAGATTCACTTGGAGAAGCAGTGGAAGAATCTGTAGACTCGTTTGTTGATGAATCTGTAGATTCGTTTGTTGACGACTCCGAAGATTCGTTCGTTGATGAATCTGTAGGTTCGCTGGGAGAAGCAGTGGAAGAATCCGTAGACTCGTTTGTTGATGAATCTGTAGATTCGTTCGTTGAAGATTCCGAAGATTCGTTCGTTGAGGAATCAGTGGGTTCGCTAGGAGAAACGGTTGAAGAATCTGTTGACTCGTTTGTTGATGAATCTGTAGATTCGTTCGTTGACGACTCCGAAGATTCGTTTGTTGAGGAATCAGTGGGTTCGCTGGAAGAATCTGTAGTTTCGCTGGGCGACGAAGGGGAAGAATCGGTTGTTGAAGAATCTGTGGATTCGTTGGTGGAAGAATCAGTGGTCTCGGTGGTCGTAAAGGTGGAAGAATCTGTAGAGTCGCTGGTTGTAGAATCGGTCTCCGCATCAGTTGTAGAATCGGTAGTAGAATCCGTTCCCGGTTCCGTGTTTGTTGTTCCTACCGATGGCGTTGTGACTGTAGTACTAGTGGTTGAGGAGTCCGAAGGGGGCTCATCGGTTGTTGTATCTGGTTGTTCGGTTATGATATCAGTTGTTTCCGTTGTTTCCGGTTCCTGTCGAATGAAAATGTAATTTAATTGTGATCTCGGGATCTTCTAGAGCTCTCACATTCGTAGATGTGGTCGGGGCATCATCAATATTACAAGAGACGATGGGAACCATGTCCAGGTCGTCGCAGCCGCTTCCAGTGCATTCGTAGCAGTTCAGGGCACTTGCTGGAGAATACAGGTAAGTGGGCAGAGCAGGTGAGTAAGCGGAGGGAGGTGGGGGAAAATGGGGGCAGCGCGAAGGCCGACCGAGATAAAAAAAATTCGTGCAGTCTCGAGAGCAGGCAATAAGTCTGATTGATATATCAAATAGGAGATAACATCACAAATTGTTGCCTCACCAGCGAAATCAGATAACTTTCTGCTTGGTACTCTTTTTAGGTTAATGTACTTCAGTATTTATATTCCCTTTATATCGGATAACCTTTCAACTCAAAGTCTGCCTTATCTGCCATATATTGATAAAGACTATATTTAATTACCTTACTTTATTAAATTAACGAGTAAGGCAATTGTTTTATTAATTACTTCTTTTTTTATCTGCTGTCCACGAGTAAAAGAGATTGGGGGATTATGAGGAAAAACTATAATTTAGAAAAAGGGGAAGACCCCCAAATAAAACCAATTTTAGAAAAAAGGGGGAAAACGACTTATTTTCAGACGAATCAACTAATGAATAAATACGAAACTGAGTTCCAAGAAAGTCATGAGTTTAAGTGGTATGATAACGTTAATTTTAAACATTTGTTCGATTTAACCTTGTTGTTGTTCACTTTATAATTAAATAGAAACTATTTATGGAATCAAAACTCCCTCTGAAGTGCATCTAGAATGCTCTACATATTATTATCAATACAGTTACCCTACACTAGCAGCAAAAACAAAACTAATTACAATAATGGAACCATGGACATGGCCATGGCTCCCACATTCTTCACTGGAATTCGCTTGCCTACGCAGCTGATAAGGAGCTCAAAGAATTATTTTCCTTTCACCAAACTAAAAGCAGTTCATAAATTGTTGAGTAAATTCCCATTCTGCACTGACATATCCGATAAATCAATCAATAAGTTTTCGAATGTGACTTGGTCAATCTTTTGCACAGCGTTGCACTTCAAGATAATGCTGATAAATAAATCCAACCTGGCCAGAAGGTCAAGGAGGCGCAGAAGGCCAGCAGTAGAATGTTAAACGCGAGAAGACGCATTTCACTTGAATGCGAATGCTTTCTTATTTGTTCGTTAATAGCCGACAGGATAATAGCCGAGGGACACTTTTATCGAAGCCGATGGTAAGACTAGAATCGCACCGCACGACGGCTGAATGGTAACTACCAATTAAATATAATGTTAACTTGGCTTTTTTATCGTTCTCAGTCGCTGATAAGCGACCCAGTCGGCAGAGCCGAGCAGAGCACCAGCAGCAGCATTCTGGCTTTGTTCTTCCTGGCGATAAGGCCATATAAGCCTATTATTGCCCCGATTGCAGTTGTCGATAAGGTCCCCGGTCGGGGAAAATTCGGGTAACACCACTTCCTCAGGATGCCCCGAATATTTTCATTTATTGCAGTGCCAATTTTTACGACGACCCTCTTCTTTTTTCCCAGAACTGCCAGCGCATCGATAAGATATCGATTGGAGGACAATATCCTCTGTTTGGCCAGGGCAGATTTTACGGTCAATTACTAATGGGCCAAACCCATGAACAGGACAGAATTTTTATTACTTGAAATTAGAGATGGAGAAATGTTAAAGTTGATCAATTAACTGCATGTTTCCTTTGAAAAGTATTGAAATTTAGATAAATAAAGGATTCTTAGGCTTTGCTCTAAAAATTACAGATGAAATAATTTCAAAGTAAACCAATTTAAGTTCGATTTTTGCAAACAGAAATATCGAAAACTTGAAAATTTGATAAAGGAAAGTTATGGTAAATGGTTGTATAATTTTTCTCTGTGTAACACACACCTTAAAAATGAATGTCACCTCTCATTTGACGGAAATTTCCAGAATCGTACAAAGATTTGTTGGCAAACTTCTAAGATATGTATATATATGTATATAAAATGGGATTTTATCTAGACCTGTTGGCTGCATCCATTTCGGGACCTACGCCATTGGATATCGGTTTGCTAAGCAATTAAGACCGGCTGTAGAAATCTAATCAGTCCAATCGATTTCTAAGGCATCTAAAGACCTGGCCGGGCTTTATGGCATAGGGCGTTGCTGAGTAATAAGCAAATAAGCCTATTAAGCCTTTATAAATTTACTATATAATTTCTTGTATGTGCTGTGCAAATTTATATAACACTAAGTTTATCATGATTCATTACTATGGACTACTATAATATATGGAATCTATAATATAAAAATATTTGTATATATATATAGTTAATATATTATAAATAGGAACATGTGCCTTTTCGAAAAGTAAGTCTAAGGTTTTTGCACGTTGCTTCGTGGTCGGATTTAATCTTTAGTCGAATATCGATAAAGAAACTGACAATATCACAGTTACTTTTTTTTGTTTTTGTTGAATAACTTTTAGATATTTGTCTAATGATTCATACATTTTTAGACAGCCGCCTAATAGATGATAGCTGTAATTATCATTAAACGAGGGAGTTTTTTTCGGAATAGAAACCTTTGGAACACGTATCATTTCACATTAAACTTGTGACCTGCGCAATATTAGAAGACTCTACTTAAGTAGATTTGCTATAGAAAAACTTAAGTAAGAGCTAATCTGTTATTAATCATGATATCGATGACAGCAATAAAATATTTAATGGCGAAATTAGAGTCTGTTACAAATCTTAGCCAGGTCAGTGCTAAATGAACTTGATGTTTATTCGCCCCAAGAATATAATCGCTTGAATTCTCGAGATAACCTACTATTTTAAGCTTAAGAACCGGAAATTTGACAAATGAAAAGTAAGTGGGAAAGGCTTTGTTTAATAGTTAAAGTTTACTTATCAATCACGTTATGGCGGTATTTATTGGGTGCCATAAAATTTCATGCTTATGATTTACGCGTGGACGCATATTTATTTCCCCTAGTGTTGCCAATAGACCCAAAAATTTTGTTGGTCTTTAATGGGGGGAAGAATCTTATCTAATCGATAAGGAATTGCCGTTTTGTGTGTTTGATTTTCTTTTCTTTCCGTTGTTTTTGTTGCCTTGATTAAATTTGCTTAGCATAAATGGCCCAAAAGTATGCCTCTGCTAGGGTTTTATATTATTTTTGTTATAATTAGTATCGGATTGTTTGCTCAACGGCCTGAAAGAAAAAATAGGGGGAAGACCATAGTTCGGATCGTCAGGGTTCCACATGTCGTATACGTGATGCGGTGCAAGCATTTATCACGTATACGACATGGTGGTAAGGCTATTTGTTAGTCATTGGCCATGACTGGGTTTTAATTTGTCTATAAAATTAAGGGAAACTTATCTTATTAGCTAAAGAGATAGATGAAGGATGCCTCTAAGTCTCTTGAGTCATACAAATTCCTTCTGTCTCTGTGTGTTTCCCTTAAAGATTAGATTAACTCATGCTTATTCAATTTCGTTTTAATTTATAAAATAATTTACTGGCAAGGGTCCAAAATAAAAGTAAATGTTTATGCTTAAGCAACTTTAAGAAATTTCGGTAACTTTCTAAATTTTAAACTTAACATGCGCTTTTTTATAAACCTCCTTAATCCTTTTTTGACCAAGTTATGATCATTTCAAATTAAGAATATCCCTAAAAATCGAACATGTAGAATATTGATTTAAAGTTATTTTATGGTAATGATTTGTTGTATTACTCATTATTTATATTATTGAATTCCTTTACATAAATCTGTATCTTTATGTTCTCCAAATCACCCAGCTATGCATCTACTCAGCAATTTCTTATTCATTTGAATACTTAGTTGCATATTTAAATACGTTTCCGTTATTAATTATATTTGTATTTTAATAATTACATATTATTTATTAAGTGTTCGGCGTAAGCTTTACATTTGGTTAGATTTAAATGTAGTTTTTAGTATATATATATATATATATTTCGATATTCGCGTGTCTTAGAATTACATAAATTTAATATTAAATGATGAGTGTGTCTTTTAAGCACCGGGAGGATGGATGAAGATTAGGTACTTAGTTTCGCTGCAGGGCGAAGGCCACAAAGGCCACCAGGAGTGTGGCCAGGATGGAGGTCCTGACGGCATTGCCACCATTGCAGGCATTCATGCTGCAGGGATTGCAGTTGGCCAACTCTGTGTTGTTGTTCTGGATCTTCAGGAGATCGCAGACGCCCTCATAGGTGCTCACCCGGGAGCAGCCCCGATTCGTGCTCATAGTGCCGTTAACTGCGTAATTAAAGATACTAGTTAAGTTATTAATTCTTACAAAATATTACTAAGATAGACTCACCATCCACCTGAACGGAGTAGCAGTGATAGGTGACCTCCGTATCCACCACCGCTCGTCGCTGGCGGACTGCCAGCGAGGGCGTGGAGCTCTCCACAGGCACCAGTCGGGTGGCGTTCATGGCGGCGACAAAGAATAGATCCTCGGCGGGCGGCGTTGGCACTCCTGTGGTGGTCTGCACGGGTCCAGCGGTGGGCGGTGTGGGCGCTGGGGCCTCGGTGCTCTGGGTGCTCTCCGTGCTCTGGCTGCTCTCGGTTGTGGGCTCCGGTGTGGTCGTCTCCACCGGCGTAGTGGTCGTGGTTTCAGTGGTTTGAGGACTCGTTTCGGCACTTATTGTGGTCATTTCAGGCGTGGTTGTTTCCTCTGTGCTCATGGCCGTGGTGCTGGCCTCTGTAGTCGTGGTGGTGGTCACCGTGGAGGCCTCTGTGCTGCCGCCGGGATTGAAGAATTCCTCGTTGCAGGCCAGCAGAGGGGCATCCTTGGGCAGCTGTTCACAGTCATCGCAGACGTAGCACATGAGATCGGCTCGAATAACTGAAAGGAGGAAAATAAATATGTAACAAGGTAAGGGTTGATGGTTATAGGGCTCTATCGGAAATATACAACAAGTTCTTGAGAGTTTGCTCTAAATTCTAGCGCACCTCTTCCGGTCCTCTCCTCTTTTTTATACATTTGTGAATAAAATTACCCTAATAAATTAAGGAGGCACCAAATAGCTATCTCTATCAGTGGAGAGTGCTCAATTTACAGCTTGGGCAAACAAAATGAAGACACGCGATAACATGAACAACAACGGTCGATAAATGATGACAAAAGCTAAGAACATGTGAGCGCAATAAATCAATTCAAAACCAAAGCCCGTATTTGGCGTATTATTTGCCGATTCTTTAGTATTAGTTTGCACAGCCTTTGATCTAGCGCTGGAGCACTTCCCCGCCATAAATCGTTTCCATTTGCATGTTGTTATCGTCATCGGCAAATATTTACCGCTAGCAAACAGAGACAAACCTATCGGCAAGCTACACTCGCATAATTGCGTTAATTGTCTTATCAGTGTAGTGGCTGCGGATGCCTATGAGTACCCATGTGAGGTGAGTCACATCGACGGGTGCCCACGATAATCCGACTATGGGCCAAATCCCCACTTGACGGCTCTCCTCCGATACGATAACAATCGAAATCAAACTGGGCGCCGATAAAATGAAGCAATATTATCTGTGTTTTACTTCCCTGTCAAGTATTTACGGTCTTTTTCTATTTACGTCTATTCCTTTGAAGTATTTAAGGTCTTAAACAGCACGATAATCTGACCAAGTGTTGAGTTTCCACTTGACAGTTTTCCGATGCGATATCATATCATTAATATCTTACCGCTCGGTGATAACATGACGCCTGCTTTTCAAAATTTCGTATAGCAGTGATATTTTTAATGGATTATTTAAGGTCTTACGTGAAAAGAAATGGGATAAACTGATATGATTCTCTATTTTTGGCCAAACCAGGTGATACGATATTCTATGTACTTTGAAGAACTATTACAGTGCGCCTCGGTACTGAGGAGTATTTATGGTCTTAAGTGGGCAGAAGTTGGATAATAACTAACATTTTCTTGTCTTACTTTCAACTGTCAAGTATTTATGGGCTCAGGCAAAAAGGATTTATAGATTATATGGGATAGAACGCGATGCGATATCTATTTTAAAGAACTATATATGATAAAAATGAATTTTAAACGGTTATAAATTTAAATCTTAAGTGGAAGGGAATTTCTATATATTATATATATTTCATATAAATAAATGGTTTATGAGCTTTGGATTTATAGCTTAATAAGCGTACAATTTGTATAAAAATTGATTCCTATAGAAAAAATATTAACAAAACCGGTTAAGCTTTAATACAAAGACTCATTTACTCATAATCTCAATATATTATGAACTTAGAAACACGAGTTATACAAATCTTTGAATTAAAGGAATTCAATAAATAATATTTACAGAAAATCGTCCCCATCAATATAATTTTTCACATATATCTCCCTGCCTAATTTTTGTTGATTTATTATTTTAAAATTTATCATAAATCATTGTGATTGATGGTGCATTTTTCGGCCAGGGGGCCTGGGTCTCAAATTGTCCGCGGGAATGTCCGTATTGCTGGGGTTGGGGCTTAATGTCACGTGATAAGCGCCACCCAACGCCACAAAATTGGGAGAGGAGGGGAGGGCAATTTACAGATTTCTCGTCTCACTCATTAAGTATTGAACATTAAGCCTTTGTTTATTATTCAGAAACAAACAAAGGTGAAGCTGCAGAGTTTATTATTATTATTTTTCCGTTTGCAGCTTGTGTAAGTCAATAAACTGGCTGTGATGCTAACTAACTTAAGGGGTAATTGAAAAAAGCCGTTTAAAGTTCTGAAGCCAAAGTTCGGTGCAAGCGATTTCCAGTTTATTTTGCATTTTTATGCATGTATATTTTTTATTCACTCTTTCTGGAATGAGCAAAAGCCATTTTAAATTGTATTCCCAATCCAGTGCGCCTCTCCCAAAATTAAATCATTGCCAATTGCGTCAAGAGATCGTGAACGAAATGATATAAAATATATATTCCGGTTTTCTGAACGGTGCTAATAAGCCAGACGAGTTTTTCCCAAAGTGTGCTAAGTGTAACTATAACATTTTCAATTAGCAGGTAGCCTCAATGTCAGCCTGCTTATTTCTGTGTTATTTGTGTTGTTGAGTTTCCACCTGACTTTTCCCTTTCAAATCAAATCAATTGGAAAGGCTTCGGGGGAGCTGTGCGCTTCCAGATGACATTTCCGCATCACAGAGTCATTAAAAATCGCAAATAAAATAAGCAGCAACGACAATCTTTGCATTATTTATGACAGTTAAATAATAACAACAAATAAATTGGGCGTTTTAAATGTCGCTGCGCGGCGGTTGATATGCAAAATAAAATTATATGGTGATCTTGAATTCTGAATTAATTTCGACTGCTGCACACACGTTGGGACACTGCCATTTTGTGTTATATTTATTATTTATTTATAGTAGCATGAGCTGCGTTGCTATCTGATATCTTTCGATATCTTGTGATATATCTGATATCTCGTGGGACACTTCAATTTTTATCACGACACTTTCCCCGAGACCCTAATAGTGGGCAATACCCAAAACGAAAATTCCTTTACCTGGCAGGCCGATTAGCAACAGCAGCAGAGAGCTGGCCATGATCCGGTGAGTGTTGGTCAGCATTTTAGTTTTGTATTGTTTCGAAATATGTATTTTGAAATAGTATATACGATATATTCTATTGCAAATGTTGCCCTGCTTTAAATAGTAATTTATACTAATTAATTGCTTGCGTCGCTGCAGCTGCTTCTGCTACTGTTTCTGTTTGCTTTACCGCGACCGCTGTTTGCGAATTCTGAAATTTAACTGAAAATCTTGTGATTTGTTTGAGACTTTTTATAGAGTTTCTTGTTGTTGTGCGTTCAGCGACTGCGGCGTCAGCGGCGTCAGCGGCTTCGATGCGTAAGAGCGAGAGCACGAGCCGGAAAGAGAGAGAGAGCCAGAGCGGCGGTAAAACAAGTTTTACTTTTCTTTCGGGTGATAACAAATTAATTTATAATGCAGAATTAAGTGAGCAACGCAAATCAATTGACCAAAGGTGTTTGCTCTCTCCCTCTCTTAAGTTCTCTTCGATTCTCTTAGCCTTTACGTTCAGGGAAAATGGATGCGATCTTCCGGGATTCTTCGGTGCCTTGGCTTTTCCCGCCGATCGAAGTGATTCAGTTGTGGATTTCACTTTCGTGTACGATTTTTAGCACCCTTTACAGGCCCCCCCATCATCCAGAATTTCTTTGTTTTTTGCTAATTAAACAGCTGATTGTTAGTCAGCAAATGGAGACTGTAAATGGCCACAAAACGCGATCGGCATACAACTTTAGGTAATAGCTGGGCTTTGTAAGAATTAGTCATTAATTAATCATTAAAGTAAGAACCTAAACAGTAACGGAAACTAACTTTGGAAAGCCCAATTTTATATATAGGATCGTATCAAAAATCGATTATAATACTGCTTTAAATAATCGCATTCTTTGAAACGATAGTTTTATATGACAAATTATATTGACAAATCAAAGTTTAAAAAACGCATAACTATGGCAAAAAAGCATTAATTTTAGTTCGGAAAGCGTTCCTATGTTCATTTTAGCAGGTTAATAAAACTGCATACTCGATGTAAAATATGCATTTTTGGACGATATTTGATAGTTGTAACCCCTTCAAAATGTTAAAGTTTTTGAAAATTTGACGCTGATCAATAATACTTATGATTTATAGGGTCGCAAATGACTCCTTCAATCCGTTTCAAGGTTCTGAATGAAATTATAATACCTGTGCGTATACGTAATTTTTTGACTATAAATGCCTAATAAAATAGAAACCACATACGGAGCATTCTTTGGGACGCCGAAAATTGAATAACATTGTCGTTCCAAATAAATTTAATAGGATCGCATCGATAATCTATAATAATTAAGCTGAAAATATTAGCAATCTTACAAATTATATTTATGGATATTTTTATATGAGCATTATTTCGTAAACTCAAAGGTTAAAAATCTTATAACTCAGCCAAAAAGGGATTCATTTCTATTCGGAAAGCTGTTCTGTGTTACTTTTTATAAGGATTATTAACCTGCATACTCAATTTAAAATTAAAAAAAAATTCAATATGTTTTCAAATTTGGACAATATTAAATCCTTATATTTTTGGAAAAAAATTTTCAAAAATTTTTTTTCAACCGGAAATAAGTAGATCGATTCAGCTGATCAAGAATATATATTTAATTATGAGGTCGGAAATGACTCCTTCACATCGTTATATGCTTCTGACTTAAATTTTAATAGCCTGAAACCTTTACTAATATGTATTGTTTCGTTTTATAAATTTAGCTATCTTTCCTTCTTTTATTTGTTTTTAATTTTATTGCTTAAGTTTTATAAAATATTCAACTCATAATATAAAATATTCCCCATTTTGTTTGTAAAAAATGTATTCCCCTCCGTATCACAACCCACACTTGAATCCTCTCCCCATTTATATAATATTCGCAACTCTAATAGCTAATGCCCGTGTGTCGGCGGCTGTCCCATGATTATTATTATTCAATATCAAGAGCACGATACGCAAATAAACTCAGATTAGACAGAGCCAAACAATTAACGGAGATTTCGCTGCTGTTGGCTCACCTTTTTGGCACCTGCCTTAATAATAATAATAGGTATTGTGCCGAGTTAGTCGAGCCTCAGAACTTAAGCCCAACGAAACTTTCCAGTTGAGTAAGCCGGCTGGCCAGAGACAAGGTCGTGTTCTACTCGAAAGCTAATGAAATTCCACGGTGACCTAGAAAGCCGCCCCCTAAAAGAGGGGGGACAAGGTCACCAGCTGATAAGCTGAACCTTAGTAAGGTGCGAGAGTGGCTTTCGTTGTAATTGTTTTGAGCCGAAACAGGTAAATACATAGTTGTATTCACCTTTGTGTGATTTTTGTTTGTCAAAGTAGTATTATTTATTATTTAGTGTTGTTTTATGTAAAAATATATCTATAGGTATATATATCCATATCTAAATCGTTATCTCTACCCATTTCTCTACAGTAAAGTCATGTGAACGCTCAAGTGTTAAGCTTTATTTTTATTTAACCTTTAACCACGAGAATCTTTTATTTTGCTATATAAGAACTTGGAAGTGAATCGTGCGTTCCCTGTGCCATATAGTAATTCATCGATCTCCCCAAAGCCCCCAGTTCGTGCCAAATGTGGACTGAGTCTGGTTAGAGCCGCCTCACTAAGCTGATGCATCATCATCGACGATGTCTGAGAAACCCAGAGACGCGACAGATAAAAATTGTAACTTCCCCAAATAACCATATATATATATATATATATATTATATATAGCATATACCTCAAAAAACAAAGCCGACCATATCACGTAGAGCAGCGACATCATGACGACAATTCACTGATTGAAATTCTCTTTGGAGTTCTCTGTTCTCTCTTTTGAAAGTGAATTTTTGAAAGGCTTTTTGGTCATTTCAAGTTACGAGTATTTTAACCTCCCGGAAGCTGACAAAAATAAAACGGGGAAGCTTAACAAAACAGCCCCCTGACACGAGCCCACAAATCTGGCGAGTTAACAAATATATTTAAAATATATTTTACACAGTAAAAACAGCAAAGATACAGACAAGTTTGGTCAAAGAAAAACAAAGAAACTGCAATGTATTAAATATATTTTAAAAGACATATTAAGTATCTAACTGATAATTTTGATCTCAAGGCAAAGTTTTACAAAGTTAAAAAGAGTTCGGAGAATATTTCTCATCCCAAATAATCTTAAACTGAACCTAATATCATCCCCCAATTTTTCGCCGTGCATTTATCCACTGAAAGTTACGCATTTAGTCAGTTGCATTCAGTTTGTACCCCGTGTTTAGAGCAAGTTTCCTTATAGCAGAAGGCTTCCTCATCGCTTTTTTCGTTCATCGCCGCATTAAGACCGCACAGTCAATTCCGGGCACCAAAATGCCACAATAATGCCATAAATCTGGGCAAAGTTTTAGGCAGCAATTGCCACTCGACTACCAGGCGCTTATCGGGCCTAAATGCTTTGGCCATTTGATCAGTGTATCAAGTGTATCAGGAGTGTATCAAGGGCGTATCAGTTTATCAGTGTATCAGTAGTAAAAGTATACTAATATGTACAACCTGTGGAATCCGTGCTGTGTGCGGCGGCATGAAGTCATGAAATTTTATTTTGAACGGCAGCACGACACGACGACACCCATGTACCTCGTCACACCTCGACTTATCATCGAGGAAGCCCGGCTAATTAATTGATTTCGATTTCGATTTTTGCAGCTGAATGGAAGCAACATTCTCGATGACCCAGCACTTTCGCTTAATAATAGAAATTATAGACGCACCCGAAAGGGTCCACTTCTTATCGATGACAATTAAACAATTATGCGAAAATAGACGGGGTGCGCTCATTGCCCCGAGACTTTACGATTTCCGAGTGGTAAGCGAGCCATAAATAGCACAATTTGGGGTATCATAAATCATATGGAAGTCACTCCCAGGAATGAACTCAGACGGCTACGAATCGTATGTTGTGGATTGTATATTAGGATCTTTGGGTAATTGTTATATATTTAGATCAGAAAGCGACCCACAATGGCCATTAATGTCAGAGCCAGACTGGCTTCCAGTCCCGGGATTCCTTTGGAAGATTCGCCAATAGGCTTGTTGCAGCCATCGTCCTGGCACAGTTGACATCCGCCCACGGACCAGTTCTCGAAGAGTCCATCGCAGTGGCCGGTCCCATTACTCATCCGGGTGGTGGTGCAGCCCCTCTTGGTGATAACCGATTCATTCACTGGAAATGGGAAATGATATTATTGTTATTTCAATTTTAGATAGATATATTTTATAGATTTGTTTTCTGTTAGCTTTCTTTCCTTGTTTGGTGTACAAATATCTCTCCAATTTCTTTGAGAGCTCACCCAGTGCAGGGCCACTGTGCAGGTGGTGGTATCAGTTCACCGGATGACTCACAGCACAAATTATTGATAAACTATCGATGTGGGCGGTAGAATCACCCCAGACAGACTTTTTTGATGGGTACGGGTTATGGTAATAGGAACTTAGATAAGGTACTTCTACGTGGGAAATACTTACAGTGTAGTCGTACTATGTAGCAGAAAGCAGTGGGTACATCAAGCTGCGCTTGCCGGGCACTAGATCTTCTCCTTCTCTCATCCTCTTCCTCCTCCTCCTCTTCGTCTTCCTCCTCTTCGCTCTCAGCTGCCGATTCTGGAACTGCTGGTGCTGCTGCTCCTCCTCCGGCTGGTGCTCCTCCGGCTGGTGCTCCTCCTGCTGTTGCTCCTCCTGCTCCAGCGGCCCCACCATTGCCTGCTGGCATTATGCCCACTGTGGATGACTCATCGCTGTCATAGTCCTCCTCCTCCGCGGATGGAGGTGCACCTGGGGCAGCTGGTGAGGGATTGGGACTTGGACCCGGACTCGGACTTGGACTAGAACTGACAGGTGTGCCGTCGCAAACCTCCATTTCGGTCAATTGAGAGTTCTCGTCGCAGTCCTCACAAATGTAGCAACGCAATGCTAAAGAAATTAAAAAATAATAATAATAATATGCTTTTTAATTACATTTTACTTAATTTCAACTGAAAATTTCATTCACTCTTTAAAGACTTTCGAATTTAATGATCAAACCCTTTTACTTTTATGCAAATTTCCCCAAGTGTGTGCACACCCATGACCTTGGGCCACTCCAGGTGTGCCGCAGTAATACATGGGTGTGCCTTATCAGCGACTCCTTATCAACGGGATTACGCAGGTTGAGGGCACCCTTCTGGCGGGTTCAACACTGCGTATGAGCAACTTTTTCAAGCACACCTCGCGCGGGTCAATCAATTAGCATGCGAAAAGCTTACAGCACCGTGATTTATGACATACCTGAAACACCTGAGCTGCAAACCACAAAGGCCACCACCGCCAGTAGAAGGAAACGCATTTTCTGGGCAGGTAAGAAAATTGGGATGGCTGAAGAACTGTGGAAAACAATTTTCCAAAACCGTCACATGCGCCAAGGAAAAAGTCCAGAAAGGAAATCTTTTTTAAATTTAATATTTTAGGTATTTAGTGCTGAGCTTTTTCTATATTTTTTTCGCGGCTCTGCTTGATTGCGGAACCCAGCCTTCGCTACCGAAAATTCAAATCGAACTGATAACCCAGAACCTCCCGGAGGCTGTCCCACTGTTTCCTCTATCAAAATTGAGTTCTTCTGCTTATAAAAATCGGAAAAAAACAACAGAAAAGACTACATGTAGCTCCCGGGAAGCGGGCACAGAAAACTACAAGTCAAAGGCGATAGCATCGCCTCAGAGTTTCAAATTAACGGTGGAGCGAAAGAGAGAAGAAGACCCCTTCGAGGAGTCCGGGACATTGATAAGCGGCATCTTACATGAGTAATGGGAAAATTATCTTTGATTGCTGAAAACAAGTCAAAAAATAAGGGAAAACGAAGGAGAAAACATAACGAAGGAGAACGTGATGTGTGCAGGTTATGAGCAATGGGTTTTTCCTGGGGAATCGAAGGGTTAAATACCACTTATACTTTATTACCTCGTATATAAAGCAAGTCAGTTGAGTTCTTAATTAGTATTTGAGCAAAAGCAAATAGGACATAAAGCTTAATATTTTAAGCATTAAATTTAAAATAAAAATCACAAAAACCATGCAAGAAAAGAGAATCTGAAAATAATCATTGGGTCACATCACTCATACGCAGTGTTGTACAGTTTTTGTGTTTTCTGTTTTAGATGAAAATTTTCAAAAATCGACAAAAATTTGAATTTTTTAACATTTTAAATAGATTAATTATTAACTTAATAAAAACTGGCATCGTAAAGGTTTCCGAATTGAAATTAATGCAGTTTGTTTAAGCTATGTGGTTTTCATACTTTGATGTCGAAAAAATTTGGGTTTATAATTATGTAAAATATCCAATAACCCAATTGCCAAGCTGCAAGGGTATATCAACTTAGGCAAAATTTCCAAAACTTGATCTTCCGCTTCTTGAAGATTGGAAATACATTCAGATACTTTAATTATTTATTGAATATTTGTGCTACCCTCTATGTATGCCATACAAACTGATAAGAAGAAACCCAACGACTCTGTTATACTGTCATACAGCATTTATTTATGTGCTCTTTGAAGTTTTTGGTTTTTGGTTTTTGGTTTTCGATTTTCATTTCAACACTCACTTATGAACTAAGCAGAACTGATTGATTTGCTCGACGGGGCGTACTATATTTTTACTATATGTATTTAGTGCGTTTAGGCGGGTTTAAGCTCTGTATTAATTTCATTTCTGCCATTGCTTTTCTTTTCTGTTTCTAATTGCACAATTACTTTAACATTTATTGCGTTGGTTTACTCGGTTTTAGTTTAAATTCGCGCCATAAAATTGATTGTTTTTGCTTGCTGCTTTGTTGGTTAATTTATAAACTCAAAATACAATTTGGTGCACATTTAAAATTACCTAAAAATATTGCTGAAAATAAAAGGCAATTAGTGAATTCTCATACCTTTATCGCTCCTAACAATTATCCATTGGCAAATGGCCATACGTATTGCTCAATAAATAACACAATAAAGCTACGCCTCGATCCTTGATATATATGTTTTTAGGGAGTATTTATATATATATAGAACTCTAACTTGACTTTACACATGAACCCGAAAAGCATCTCTATATAGTTTGTTTTTTATCTGTGCATGTTTCGTATTTGTTTGCTTACATTTCTAGGATCAAAGGTTGTGGATTTTCAGGCGGGTTAGAGGGATACTAGGGCTGGGTTTTGGGTGTTTTCTTTCGGGTGGAGGATGAGCGACTCGATGGCACTCAAATATTTACAAAGTAAACTGGGTGACGCTAAGGGTAACTCAACCTAAATGCAGCCAAGGATATCGATCCAACCTCCTCCTTAGCAGCCCAATTGGAGCACAATCATGGCCAGAATGGAGCCCAGGGCCAGCGTTATGGCCGCAGCTCCATTGCAGCGATCCGTCTTGCAGATGTCGCAGAAGAAGGCCTCCTCCGCCGAGGGCTCCTCGCCGTCCGCCCCATCCTGGCCATGTCCCTGGTTCTTCCGTCGCTGCTGCCGTTGATCTATCTCCTCCTTATTAGGGATTCGCAGCTTGGTTCGCAGGATCTGGCAGGCATCCGAATCGCCAGTGTCCAGCTGGCAGAAGCGAGCAGTTACCACCTTACGGGTTTCAGCTGGAGAAATACAATACATTTTGAACAATTAAATTTATTGTTATTCATGTATAATTTTCTAAATAAATATATTTTAAAACTTGGAATAATAAAGAGTGAATACTCTCTTTATTATCTCTATTTTCCTCCTCTTGCTTTTCTTTTTAATTGAATTTTTAAGCAAAAACACTTTCATTTATTCCTTAGAGCTCTTCTTACATAAGACCCAGTGGACCTTTTCTGGGAACTACCATTGTTTGTGGTTACATTGGCATTAAGTCTCGTGTTGTACCCATAATTTATATATATGGTATCACACTCTGCAAAGTCTACAACTGTCTACTAGATAACAAATCAGTCATAAGCCAATTCAAATATTAACTTTACGATTGCCAAAGACTCACAGAGTTTTACAATTAATGATTCACATGTAGTTTTATATCAAGTAAATGTAAACATTATAGTTTAGATAATTTTGAGTGCATTTGTTAAAGCCTGAAACACTTTAGAATGAATAAATATAATTATATAATTATATAAGACTTAATGCTATTCAAAGAAAAATATTAAAATTTAAATACTCACGATCCTTGGCCACCACTTTTTGGCAATTCATGAGCGGTAACTTGTTGGCTCCATTATCGAAATAGGAGAACTTGTTGAGGTCGAAAAGCCAGGTGTCCAGTGATTTCATTTTGTCCAAAGTGCATTCCTTAAATAAAAAACCATTCATTGATGAGTGTGTTATTTGTATTGTTGATTATTATTATATTAATTCCCGTTGGAAACAATGCCTGGGCATTGATCGAAGCTTGGTAATTGAGGTATTAATTACTGTTGCAGTTTGTTGCAACTGAATTATCTTATCGGTGGGCGGCAACAGCAACTGATACCAGAGACGACCTTGGTTATCAGAGAGTGGGAATACTTGCTCACTTAAACTCCATTCACTTGACCCGAATGTGGGAAGATTAGAGCCAGTTCTGGTGAAGTAGTAAAGCCACTTAAGTGCCAGTGGGGGATGCCCCTTATTGAAGAGAAGGTATTAATAGAGGAGTACTTGGGAAAATCGCTTAGTAATTGATTCAAGTTAGAAGCTTAATTGGAAGAACACTCAAATTTAAATTCTAATAATAAATACAACCTCTTTATGCTTATTAATTCAACTTTGTAGTTTATTAAATGGTAACCCCCTTTCTTACTCAAGAAACCCCATTAAAATTCAAGCAATATCTTTACAATAAGTTTATGATTAACTTAACAACCTTTTCCTTTGCAAGATATCTGGTTTTCTCTTTAAACAGTGATAAGAATTCATACAATTATCTCAAAAGAATAAGTTCGCTTAGCAGTTGCCTTTATTTATTGTGAAATTTTATTTATATTTTGATAATTTCTCAATATTTACTATGCCAATATGACTTTGAAATATTTACCCAAGAGATAAGACTCTATATTTGCCAATATTTGTACTCAAATAATTGCGAATTCAAATCTTTAATGTCGTCTAACAAACGTAAATTGAAAATGTGATAACTTTCAGCGTCACTAATTTGATTTTGAATTATTTATTTGGACAAGAAAATTGGTAAGATAAGATTTTAATGATGACACTTGAAGATTTTCTGTGGTTCACTTTTGTCGCATTCACATCTTTATTTTGACAAACGAAATAAATTAATGGGATTAATTTGCGACTTCCTTTATGATAATTTCTGATTATAATAAATGATTTGTTTTAAAGAAACCACATTTGTTGTTGTTAAACAATACAATTTATGGGTTTTTAAATTATCAGTTTAATAAATAAGTTATAGATTTCGGAGGTAAAGACTACAATTAATTGCATTTTAGTGTTTGTTTCTATTTTATTTGCACAAAATTGTTTACTATATGTACAGTTTTTTAAAGAAGTACCTAAAAAAAGTGATCTATGTTTGCTGGGAACTCCTTCTGAACTAAAATCCATAACATTTATTATACAAGAGAGAGCTTAACACCCATAATTATATTTACAACTTTCTCTATAAACTCAAACCATTTTAAAGCCGATTTTTTATGTCCCCTTTTGGAACACAAATCGAATTAATTCAGCAAGGAGATTTCCCCAAGAAAAGCCTGTCAGTGGCTCGTAAGGTGAAAATTTACGTTAGTTTTCAGCTTTTCAAAAAGTATTTCAACTATTTGGCACGAGGCCTGAACTACAACCCTCCCAAAAAAAGATGCCAGTAACAGAAAATTCACTTAACGTGGAAAATAGAGAAAGGGAAGGACCGGGAAAAGGCGTGGAAAATGTTTAAAGGAGTAAAAGCGCCAGAAGGGGGCCCCACACAAGAGGACGAGGACGTTGCACGTTTCCGTTTCCGCTTTTGTGGGCTCTATTTCCAACTATTTTTTCCCTTTCACCTTTTTATTTTATACTTTTCTTTAATTTCTTTAAATTCTTAAATTTATGTACCCCGTCGTTTTAATTTGTGAATCACTGTGATTAATATCCGACTTAGACTCTACTACTGAAAAAGTTTGGCCAGAAGAACAACAACAGGTCCTGGATGTCAGGACCTTACCTACTCATCCATCAATTCTCGCTGATGGATGGACTTAAGACACCGAATGTGTATACACTCACCTCCGGCATTATGGTGGAATTGGAACTCAGATCAGCGCAGCTGGGATTATCGCTCGAGTCGCAGACGAAGCACTGGATGGCGGCGCCTGTAGGATATTATTTAATATTATATTTTCTAATTTAATAAATTACACTTTATTATTAAGGAACTGTGTATTTATCTTAAATGTGATTCGAAAATTTTAGAGGTGTTTGAATATGTTCATTGAGTCAAGCGCAGCTTTAAATTAATTGTTTTCCCTGTATTATTTTTATTTTTCATATCGAAACATTTAGAACTAATATATATTTTTGAGTTTTGAGTTTTTTTTTCTTCAATTATAATGCTAATTTTTCCACTTATTTTAAGCACAACACACCATTCGAAATGAAAGCCATCAAAAAGGCAAAAAACAGCATTAAAGCTCCCGACATATTTTCCAGCACTTTTATTTCCAATTCTTTTGATTTATTTTCCGTTCACGGAGCAATGATATTTTTTCAAATATTTTCTGGCACTCGCACAATTTTCACGATTTATTTTTCCGTTTGCAGCCGAAAAGGTTCTAGCACTGCCGTTGGCCAAAGGCAAACTGAAATTGGAAGCCAGCAAGGCAACGGCATGACCCGAAGCCTGCAAAAGGACACAAGCCGAACGGAACGAGGACGTCATCGTTTTCCGAAGCTGCTCGAAGCTCGTCCTTCGTCCTTCGTCTACTGTCCTTCGTCCCGGGGATCCGTGGCGCTGCGTGGGTGCGTTGCTCGAGTTGCTCCTGATTCCGACAGTAATAACGTCTTGGCCGCCCCACATGGCAGCCGAGCAAGAAATTATTTAAATTGCCAAACTGCACAGGGCCAAAAGGCAGCCAGAACCCGTCAAAAAAAGCGAGCTGCAGCACCACAGGACCTCGCCAAAAAAGACCGAAATAAAAAAAGAAATGCAATTTTCTAGCAGCCAAAACACTTTTGCCCTCTAAGCTCCAACAGTGTCGATATGAAATCATAAGAAAAAATTGGCTACAAGAATTTGAATAATAACGTTTATTCTAAAAATAAACGGATCTCTTTTTAAGCTGAAAAAAGGAGTTCAAAATTTAAAGGTTACTCCTTAAGGCTTTAAGTATTTACTAGAATAAAGATAGAATATTCGAGGCTTGCTGAAAATAGGATAAGAACTAAAGAAAAAAACTTAAAGGGAATTTGAAATATGATTGATTTTTCTTAGTACAAACTTTAAAATTTAAAATATTTTACAAATATTTCATTATTTTAGAGTTTCAATTTGGTATACCTCTTAGAATATTTTATATTAAATCATATTTTGGTTTTAATAGGAGTTAAATTGTCATTTAGTATACAATATACAATATTGATATACACATTTATAAAAAATCAGTTATTTCTCATTCCTAAGTTACATTTTTATACATTTTAAACCGAAAATTTAATCAATTTTCTGTCTTAAATCTAAATAACACAAATTTTTTATTTTAGAAGTGCTTTTGAATTGTATTTTTCCACAGATACGGACACCAACCCATATGACCCCTAAGCAACACCAGATAAGCTCGCTTTTCAAACTAAAATTAAATTACGTATTCAAAAAATAGACGAAGAATAAAGAGAAATGAGAAAGAAAACTAGCTTTGGAAAGCCGAAGTATATGCACCCTTAAAGAAAATAAGTATTAATTTATGCATTAATTTTTATATAACAATCAAATATTAAAAATGTCATAACTCAACAAAACAGGCTTTAATTTCAATTCGGAAAGCTTTACTATGTTAGTTTTTACGAGGTTAATAAATCTGTATTACTGTATCAGTTTAAAACCAAAAAAAAATCAACATTGTTTGAAAATTTTGTGGAACACCTTTCCTTTTTTTTTGAAAAAAAATGGAACATTTTTGAAAAAAAAATACATTTTTCTCGGAGATAGCTAAGAAAGATTCCCCTGTTGTTGCTGATCAAGATTATATTTTTTTTATAGAGTCGGAAATGACTCTTTCACTGTGTTGCAAGCTTCTCACTAAAACTAGAATACCCTGCAAGGGTATAAAAAAATGCAGCCTGCGTAGAAGCGAGACTCCTGCGAGAGGAGACTCTGTTGAAATATGAGTGCCCAGAGAGTTGGTTAGGCCAGCATCCGGAGGAGGAAAAGAGGCACGTAGAGGACACGGTGGACCCCCGGGGGTATCATCGGATGGCAGCACAAAAGCAGAGCAATTAGTGGCACCCAAGAGCGAAAAACTCATCCGCATTTGCCGGCGGTTTTTTATCCTGACCTCGTCGCAGGACCACAGGACGACATCCGGCTGGGGTTTTGCGGAAAGCGAGGAACTGGAGGAACGTGGGCGGTGCTTGTTTATCGCCCAGCCAGCCGTTGTTCACACCGTTTTCCATCCAACCCAATCCCGGCAATCCTTTTGCCAAGCGTTTCCATTTATCATAAACAATGCAGACCCTGATTAGTGTAGGTCGTGGCCCTGGCCCGAAAAACCCGCCACAAAAACGTCGGCTAATGTTCCGCTTGTTCCTATCAGCACGCCTGCGGTTTAAGTTTCTTTTTCTGTTTTTGTTTCAAAAGGTGGATAAGCTTGGAGCAGGTGTAAATAGGTGGGTGAAACTCAAGTGGGAGTACCTTCTGCACTCTGGACTTTACTGGCAGTAGTTTCATGGTAGTTAATTTTATTGCAGACAGAGAAGTGAAAACTTTAATTCTCCTTCCCATTCTTGAGATATTTTTTAATTTAAAAAGAATTCTTTAACCTTTTTCTTATCTATTCAATCTTTAAAAATGTAAGGCAGCTTAAGGTTGTAAAAGAAAATATATAAATACATTTACCCTATCAATTTCATTACAAACTTTGCACTCCCTTATCCTTGACAACTTGCTCTAGTTACTCCCTAAAGTTTTTCCCCTTGATTAAGCTTCGTCCTTCTAGCCTTTAACAGAAGAACTATTCAGTTTATTAAACTTTCTTTAGGGATTCTTACTTTTTGTAGTGAAAATTTAGCTTTTTAATTATTCCAACTTTTGCGCAATTCTGATTCAGGAACAAAATTCAATTACCCTTTAGTGCCGGCCATTTCCACACGGGTTTTTGCGTTTTTCCTGACTTCGGGCCATGGGAAATTGGGAAATTGCAGCCTGTTGCCAGCGTAGTTTTTAGGAGAGAACAAATTTTTGGCGCAACGAAAGTGAAATCAAAGCCTGGCCGCGTGACAAGGATACATTTGGCACAAGTGCTGTGTCTGTGTCTGGGACAATGGCGGTGACGTGGACTCCGTTGATCTCATAATTCCTTCGGCCATTGAGTCCTGGCCATGGCATGCCGACACTTCATTTCGCTAAACATCGACTGGACATAATTAAAAACGGTTTACGTACGCCTCCGCTTCCGTTTCCGGTTGGCATTTAGCGCAAGTTCGGGTTCGAGTACTTTGTTCCCTGTGAAAGGCCAGCCATAACTTATGCTTTCGATTTTTACAACTTGACACATTTTATGCGAGTACTTGGCAACCTTTAGAAGCTTTTTATCTCTGCATCGAACCGCGAACCTTGCCCTTACCTTGGCCATAAATTTTGTGTAGCCAAAAAAAAGCAGGCCACATTTTGTGGCTCAAAAGTTTCTACCCTTTTTGTTTCGCTGCCCATCCCTTAATTAGTTGCAAATTCTGGGCCGGCATGCTAATTGAAAAACTTTTTCCCCTGCTTCAGCTGCACGGCTGCAGCAATGAAATATTTACGATTTGGCTTCCCGCACAACAAAAAATTCACACTCTGTGTCAGTCAAGAGACGTCTCCCTCCGATAATGGGCCCTGTGTAGTCACTCGCTCGGTTCTGTTCTCTGTTCTGTGTTGACTCTAGTTTAATTGCGTTTTATTACGTATACGCACCGAGGTACGCCGCCAGCTGCCAATTAACTTGCCTCAAGGACAAGGGGGAGGGAGAGGGGTAGGGAAAGTATGTAGGTAGTGTGCAACCATTTCCCGGGTTGGTAGGTAACTTGCAGCAATAAACATAAAACTTTATCGTTGGCCATATCTGCAGCTTCTGGGCAAATCAATCGCTTGCAAATGCGCTTGGAAAATGCTGGAAAAGCTGAATGGAAACTCGCACAATGCACTTTAGAGTGGGGCTTCGTCTAAGTATGTATTTTACGGACACTTTTTATGGCTCATTGGGGATTTAAACTGGCTCGAAACTTGAATTTAAATAAATTTCAGTTGACTTGTTGGACAAGTTAAATTATTGTAGATACAGGTAGCTAAGGGAAGTCACAGATACAGATCAGAATCATTAAAAAGGTCTTTTAAATCGAATAGAGAAAATATTTTTCGACATTTTTGCAACCTTTTTATTTTACTTTTAAAGGTTGCTACGTTACTTTATTTATTTTAACAATGTAAACAAATTTTTAAATTTAAAAAAATTAAATTTTAGCTGGACATACCTAGAGCGACTCAGCTGTTGATGCTGATCAAGAATATATATGACTTATAGGGTCGGAAATGTCTCCTTCACAGCGTTACACGTTTCTGACTAGAATTATAATACCTTTCAAGGGTATAATTACACCTGCGCGTCTACGTAATTTGTAATTTGGGACTCTAAAACCTAAAATAAAATTTAAAACAAAGAGACTTAAAATATATTTAGTCTCGTCTACTCGTTGTATTCCAAAGTACCAATCGAATTACTTTTTAAAGAACATTACCTACATTTTTAATTTAAAAACCAATAAAAACAGTCATACTTTAACAAAACCATCACCATCAAAGTCTCCTAAATGTCCATCGCCGATCATCTTCAGAGTCCTAAGCACCTGAATTTGGCAGGGAAATACAACGCCAAAGTACGTAATTTTTTCCAGCAATCACTTGCACTTGACTGCAATTGCCATTAGGCTTCGAGCAGCAGCAGCAGCTTCAGGTGGAGAAAGAAAAATCGGAAAACCCAGAAAAACTGAGGCGAATTTTCTCCCTCTAAGCCTTTTACAGGTCATTGAGCTAAGACTCCGAGCACGTCTCTGCGGAAGGGAGGAAGGGCTTTGCCAGCAATTTGTAGGTGTCTCTCCCACGCTCGGTCTTGGACTCGGATGCACGTTCCATCCTATGCCCTGGCAGCTTCATCACCATCGCCCTCACAGACGGCAATCAGCTTCTGAAAGGGCGTGACAAATACAAAATATCATTGCATACTTCTAGGTGGCTGCGAGAAATATTTACTTGGCATTGTGTATACGCCACGAAGGCACCAGAGACGTGACTCAATGCCGGGAACAAAAAAAATATTTTCATGTATAAGAACAAAGCCAACAAATATAAATCAAGCAACTGATTAACATGGGAGGAGGTTGGGAAAAAGCTGTAAAGTGCCTGAGACAAGGAAAACTTGGTTGAGATTCAATTCCTTAGATCTGGAGAATCTGGAGTAAGCCTTACTATTTTCTTTAATGAAAATAAATTCAAGAGACATAATTTAACAAAACGGTATGCTAGCTATTATTCACACTTTAAAGTTATACTGTAAAGTAATCAACTATTAAGAAGTAAAATAACTTAGATTTTCCCTTGCCCTTTTACATATGTAATTTATAATCAAATTTAAAAACCTTAAACTGAATCAATTAAAATGTTTCTTTATGTATACAAAATTATCAACTAAATTAACAACTAAACCCATTACATTTTTCCTATAATTATTATTCTCTGTGTTTTTGGTATTCTCCAAAAAATTCCAAGCCGCAAAATTATTATTTTAACTAATACATATGTATATCCTACGACATGAAAAACAAAGGACCATAGAAACTCCTAGAACAATGACAACTTTATCCTTAGAGGGATGGTTGTGCTGCCCTTTGTTTTTCTTACTGCTCGTCCCACACCGCGTATGCGCAATTTGGCGCTTAATGACATCTCACTTTTATGCTGCATACTTTCGAGCGCCAGTCAAGTGTGAAACTTGGAGCGAGGAAAACAAAATTTACCAAAAGGGAAAACTTGAAGTTTAATTAAATTACTTGTCCCCGCTATTGATTAATAAATCTAAAAAAGAAACTGAACAAATAAATTACAAAAAATTTAGAGAACATTTTTTGTTTATTTATTGAGTTACTTGTTAAGTTGTCAAAAAGAAAACCTGAAAAATTATATTACCAATTTAATATTTTTAACGTTCTTAGCAGTTTTTTTCTTTGTTAAATACTTTCAGGCTTATGGCTAAAACTCCCAAATTATTATTAAACTTAACCTAGCACATGTGTCATTTAATGTTTACAAATTAAACAAATATTTTCTTTAATGCAAATGCCAAGAAAAGCTGCTAAGGACACCAAGACTAACAACAATAATAAATGATTGGTACAGCGTTTTTGGCGAGGCCGCTCAGTGAATTCAAAATCAATGTTTTTTATGTTGGCGCCACGCTGTCCACGAAAATAAAAGGAAGCGTGGAGCGTCTGAGCAGACAGAGACAAGGCTACCAATGATCCTGGGCGGGGGGCAGTGGGTGTGGCATTCGGATGAGCAGACGGATGCTGTTGCTGTGGCACACGAAAAGGCGCCGGGCGCCTCTCTGTCGACAGAACGCACAGCCATAGACAAAGGCTGCAGGACCATTCGCATTGAGCATTTCAGCATTTTGAGCTGCTGGCGAGGACAGAGCACAAATGCTAGCGCATGTAGGTCGACTCTCAACATGTACATACATATCTCTGTATCTGTATCTGTGTATCCTGCCTGGCCTGTGTATCTGTGCGAACGCGTTCCGGTCGCTGTATGTATCTGGACCAAAGACAAACAGCAACTGGCTGGGGAGTAAAGTCACTGGCCAGAGTCCACAAAAAATGGAGTTGCATTAAGAGAAAATGTACTATACTACAAACTAAATAAATATTAACTATTTAGGATGCATATTTTGAAATATCAGGACAAAATTATAATTAGAAACCCATTCCTTGGTTTTTATACCCTTCCAGGGTATTCTAATTTTAGTCAGAAGCTTGTAAAGAAGTGAAGGAGTCATTTCCGACCCTACAAATCATATATATTCTTGATCAGCATGAACAGACGAATCTTTCTAGCTATATACAGCAGAAAATAATTTTTTTCAAAAATTTTTTATTTTTTTTTTCCAGAAAAAATGAAAAGGGTTACATCGTAAAATTGATAAAAATTTTAATTCATTAAAATATTAGGTTTTGTATGCAAATCTATAAACCTATTAAAAACTAGCACAGAGCTTCTTTCAGAATTAAAATTAATGCATTTTTGGCTTAGCTATGCCTTTTTAAAACTTTAATGTTTTTGTTAAAAGGGTCATACAAATTTCTTTTCAATATATATTTCAATATAAATTTAAATAAATCAAAAAATGTTCTTTGAGCCCCTATTTAATTGCTTAAAACTTTCCATTGCCATCAAGTGCTTACAGATTTAGTAAACTAAACAGTTTCATTCATTTCTCCCAGTGCACGTATCGCTTGGCGTGCGGTTCTGTGCTTGACTTAATGGGCCAACATGTCGTCAAAGTTCTCTTCCCTCCCATCCTCAACAATAAAAACTAACAAAGTTGCCCTATTATTTTTGGCCTGCGTAGACAGTGACTTTGCCTTTCTCTGGGCCACAAAACAGACATAGCAGCAGACATTTTGGCAGCAGGACTGAAGGACTGGGAAACAGGACATGACAGGATGTGGGTGAGTGCGTGTGAGTCCTTGGTCAACTTATGCGTTACATATGAAAATTTCCGATTTTATATAATTGCCGCGCCACATTTCGCACATTTCTGCCCCTTTTTGTGGAATGCCTAACGCATAAATTCCCGCCCTCGGTTTGCCCTTTAATGGCTCAGACTGAGAGTGATTTAAGTGCTAAACATAAATAATTGAATTTCTGCAAGGGCGGTGAGTGTGTGTTAGTGTGTGTGCTTATGCATCGATAAATTATGGTCCACATTTTTGGTTACACAAGGGCATTAAAGTGTTTTCTCGATAATATGAAGTGAAAGTCAAAGGACTTTCGGTTATTTCATAACTATAATGCATCATTTGAATAAATTAATAAATTTACAAAATCAATAATTTAAACACAGATACTCTCTTTTAGTTAAATATTACGCTTATATTTTCATAGAAATTAAATACAAATACAAGACAGATGGGATGCTGCGATGGACATAACTACTAAGGATATGGCATACATCAGAGAGTGGAATGAAGAACTTAGTGCAGTATTTTCGTTAAGACTTAGTTTTTTAGCCACTTGTAAAATAAGGTACTCTTTTCTTTGCAGGATATACAAGGATATGCGTTTAGTGTCTAAGGATGCTAGCCACTGTCAGGCTGACCACTGTGGCCGCCAGACTGTAGCCCACCTGCCGGACTCCCATCAAGGAGCTGGCTCCATTGCATCCCTCCTCGCTGCAGGTGCACACGACCTGCTTGTAGCCCTCATTGTCGGCGGTGAAGCAGGCATTCTGGATCTTCTCCGGTATCCAGCCGCAGTTCCGCTCGATCCGGTGCTCGTGGTTCACTTCGAACTTGATCACGGTCTTCCGGCAGAAGGCCTCATGGCCCGCAGGGGCCACGCAATCCTTCAGATACTGTTCGTCCCGCTGGGCGCGTGGAGTGTTCACCACCAGGCCGGCGCAGTCCTCGTTCTCATGCGAATTGCACTGATGGCACCGAATGGCACTCACTGGAAGAAAGGGGGGATAGATGGTTTAGTTCAATTTTTTAAATTATAAAAACATGTATTTTTAAACCCCTGCAGGGTATTATAATTGAAGTCTGAAGTTTGCAAAGCAGTGAAGGAGTCATCTCCAACCATATAAAGTATATATATTTTTGATCAGCATCTATGATCAGTAAATAACTATGATCAGTAAGTACATCTAAACAGTAAGTATCTATGACCAGTAAGTAATTATGTTCAGTAATTATCTATGAACAGTATGTATCTATGACCAGTAAGTAACTCTGAACAGTAAGTATCTATGACCAGTAAGTACCTCTGAACAAGTATGACAAGTAAGTATCTATGACCAGTAAGTATGAATGACCAGTTAGTATGTATGATCAGTAAATAACTTTGAACACTAATAAACAATGACTTGCAACTTTTGTAACACAACACTTTGCTGGGACATGGCCGGCAGAAGTAACTTCGTTCCGGAGACGTTAGAACTAGTTGAGAATCATATGCACAGATGTGCGAGATTTGATTTGGAACAAATTAAAGCTATTTGAATGAAACCATGGAGTTATTCTTCTATATAATTTTACTAGAATATAATTCGGAGCCTTGCGAATCGGTGGACTATAGACATATAAATAGTGCCATAGGAACGATCGGAAAATTTTTAGAAAAACAGATTATCATCAAATTTGATAAATAGCCATTATATGTTATATTAGCCTTAAAATTTTCCTTTTAATTAAATTTCTGCCTATTTCAGACTTTAATTGGAAACGTGTGCAACCTCTAATGGCATTCAAATTCGCCCTTTTCAAAGTCTCCGACACACTGACAGTAAATTATTTTATTAGCCCCCTCAAGACCCTTTCTTAAACCCTTTCTTAAACCCTTTCCGCTTACTGTGAGCAGGTGAAAGCCTCTGACTGACAAACTGACTGCGATCCAACTGCAGTTACCTGAATAATTGCATGTCAACTGCTTTTAGGGGCCAAAAAGAAAGAAATAAATGTTGAAACATTCAATGTTTTGGCACGCAAACCTTTAAGGGCCTAAACAAAAAGAAAATACAAAGAGCTTAAATCACCAGGGTTTTAATTATAGCGAACTTTGGTGACCCTAATTTAAAGGAAATGATTATCCTGAGAAAACTCTATAGACTCCCTTAGGATATCAAGTTATTTCATTTAATTTTTAGAGCCATACGTGATTAATATAAATATTTACCTATTAATATTCAATATTTTATATTTTCCAAATTATTATAAACTTTGAAATCCTAAGGAAAATCATTGGAAAATTGGAAATTGGAAATTCTGTAGAACTTTCCATTTAACTTTTACATTTATTCAATCAATTACCCCTGCTAATCTATAACAATTACCTTGTCTTAAGCCCATTGATCAGATTTGACATTTTGTAGCAACCTAAACCTTAACCCCTTAAAATATATTCAAATTGCCTAGACTTCAAGCTATTACTCAAAAGAGTATTTCCCTGAAGAATCTAACCAACACAAAGCAATATATATATTTAATGCCAAAGGGCAAGGACATGCAGACAGTGAATTCAACTTGTAAATGCGAAATATGTCTGGACTTGACAGGATTATAAATGTCGAGCACATGAGCCATTTTTTAAGAGAAATTCTAACACTATTCAGAGGAAACTGACGTAAATCTCACGTTTGTGGAGTTGGCTAATTAAGTCACTATTGTAAACAAACATTAAGTAATAAAAAGTCACCTGCCATTAGAAAATTCTACAGTGGCAGTTTCTACAGTTTCTGAGCGCCCCTTTGTTAGAAAATTTGCATATTTTGCATTTCGCATTTGCATTTGCATTTGCATTTTACATTTGCTGCATATTCAAGCGGGTTTTCAGTGAAACTTAATCTGGAGAAAATCGGAAAAACTAGGGGAGAGGGGAAACCCTCTCCCAACTGTTGCCTTGGTGGCAGCGCTTTTATTTTGTTAAAGCTTTAATTGTACTTTTCATTAGTGCTTCTACATTGTCTAAAAACAGTCAACATACACACAGGGAAATTTTGATATACTTTAAAATTACGTTCTTCTAGTTATAAAATTTATATCTTAAATTTATGTATTATATCAAATTCTTCCGATAATATACTGTCCTATTACCTAACTTTATTATTTTTTATTATTTATATATTGTATTTTTTCCTGTGCATTCTCACTCCCCTGAAACGTGAATATTTGTCCAACCGATTACGATGTTCGTGTCCAAATACTTTCAATAAAATTAAAGCTATATAATGTGCGTTCCCTTAACAAGTGAGTGCGAGCTGTGGAATTGCTTGGACAATCAATGCATCCGTGTCGGAACTCTACAAAGGCCAGCTCTGTGTGCGTGGCTCCACGAGGCTAATTTGTATAGACTTTTGCTCTTTTTTTAAAAACAAATTTAATTATTAATCAACAGCTGGTGGGCAGTGCAGTAAGATGGCGGAAAAACAAAGACACAAAAATCGAAACGGAATCTTTAAAAGATTTAAGAAATTAAATAAATAAATCATATATATTCTTGATCAGCACCAACAGACGAATCTTTCTAGCTATACCCGGTCAAAAAAAATTTTTTTTCAGAAATTTCCAATTAAAAAAAAAAGAAGGCTTACTTCGTTAAAATTTTTAAAAATCGGACAAAAATTTACATTTTAATGGAGTTGCAGTTTTATTAACCTGCTAAAAATGAATGTACGAACTTTCCAAATTGAAATTAATGCATTTTTGGCTTAGTTATGAGTTTTTTACTTTTTGATTTGTCGTAAAATTTTCATATAAAATAAAATCGATTAAATTATTTTATATATATTTTTTATATTTCACCTTCAGTCATAAGCTTAAAAGAAAGTGAAGTAGCCATTTCCGACCCTGTAAATCATATATATTCTTGATCAGCATCAACAGGCGAATCTTTCTATCCATCTCCGGCAGAAGCAAATTTTTTCTAAAATTTTTCATTTTTTCAAATTGCAAAATTTTAAATATATTGAATTTTTAAATTTAGAATGTAGATTTGTTAATTTAATAAAAACTAACATAGGACAGCTTTCCAAAAGAAATGAATGTATTTTTGGCTTAGTTATGATGATTTTAATGACGGCTAAGGTATACAAATTTCGGCATTTCGAAGTTGGCTTCCTTTTTCCTTCTTGTTTATAATTATATTACTTTGACAAATCTATAAACTTACGAGTTCTCCCCTTTAATATTCTAATTATGCTCAAAGTTGACTCAATTATGACTAGTTATCAAAATCAATAAAAATTTCTATCACTTATTAAAAAACACAACATAAAACTAAATCCCAACTTAATACAAAATCAATAATGTTTGGAAATAGCTTTTCTTTGCAATTTTCCATGAGAGATGAGTCACTGCCAGCACTATCCAAAGAAAAGTGTTTGTGGCATGAATTTCCACCTCAATGATTCGATGAGTTGCGGTTGATTTGGTTTTGGATTTGAGCCGCAGTAGAAAATCGATCAATTTGGCACAGAAAACAAATGGCTAAAGTGTTGGCCAATCAATTGGTTAGCTTGTTTCCCAATTGAATTCACATAGACAAAGAGCACATTTCATCATTAATTCTTCTTATGTATTTAGTTTTAAATAAGTTAATTAATTAATTAAACTATTTAGAAGCTCACCTGTTAAGATATTTGCCGCCAATGCCAGGCACACGATAATGAACGTTGTTGTTGTCGACATTTTTGCGGTTATTTTGCTGTAAAAAGTATTAAAATTTTCTATTATATTTGTATCTGAATTACTTTATGGTTTTTAGCATCTTTGTCTTTGTTTGTAATTCGATTAACGCTTCGATTATAATTATAATCTATAACTTGCTGTGAGCGGTTCTCATTTACACCTGCACTAAACCGGTACCAGACAGAGCGTGGCTGCTCAACGTGACACTTGCTAATATTTTTCTAAGGCAAACATTTCATTTTAAGATTTAGATTTTGTTTGAAATTTTATATACTACAATCTGGGATATTCATTACAAGTGGGTCAAGTTAAATGAGCGAAATGAAGAGTGGTTGCTACGTTATCAGTAATTTGTATAATGTATTTGTCTTGTAATAACTTTAATTTAATTCACTTTTAAATACTTTTAAAAGTTACATATTCTCTGAATCAATTATAATTCTTTTTTTAATCGAAAGAAATATTTATAATATTTATTGATTAATTTATTAAAAATTGTTAAACATTTATAGCTTCAACTGAAAATAATAAATTCTGTTAAATACTCTTTTTACTTTTCATTTTTGGAACCTTTTTTTAAAAAACTTGATCTGATCTATCCCGTAATGAAATGTTTTAAAATATTTGTCACAATTAATCACCTTTTAAAATATTTATTTTATAAACCCACACTGCACTTTTTGCTGAATTATTTATTTATTAGAAAATGTACAATTAATTTGCATAAAAATCAAACTTTAAGGGCAAGAGCGAACGCACAACTTGACGCGAGCACCGTCGAGATGAATCTGTAAACTCGTATTGAACTTTTTGAAAAACGTTGATTTTTCAAAAAGCCAAGAGATGAGAGTCGAAGAGAGTCTCTCTTCTCTCGTGTGTGTGTTGCTGAGAGAAGATCGGCCCTAAAAACTCAGCAAAAAATGGAAATCAAATGGAAAAACTTCCGTCACTCGATCAGCTCTGCAGGGTCGTGAGAGTATGTATATATATTCATATATATTCTCGTATAGGGGGATGGATGGATTCTCTGGCTCTACAAGGTGAGATTCACTCACTGCATTGATAAGCTTGGTTTTTTTAAGAGCCGAGCTTGGTTCTTAACCCAAAAACAACTGGAAAAGCGCACACAAAACACAATCCAAATGGAATCCACCGGTTCGAACTGGTTAAAAACGGTGACACAGTGTCGTCATTAAAAAAAATATAAACAAAAGCATAATACAGATGATGTCCCCTTAGACTTGTAACTTATCCTAATTTTATAATCAAAAGGGGTTTTATGAGAAAGATTAATTAAAATAAGCTAACTTTATAAATATTTCTAAACAAATTGTTTCATTCATTAAATTTCTTAACAAAGCTCTAAAGAAATCGTATTATAAATTAGGGAATTCCCATAAGGCATACATAAATAATGAATAAATAAATAAATATTTCAAAACAACTTGTTTCACTCGCAAAACAAAATAAAAAGGCTGTAAAGGTAATTAATTTTTAACAAGGGGGAATTCCTAGGAGCAAATCTTTACTTCCATGTTGTTCCCCCCTAAATGACCGGCGGTTTGGGTTCCGGTGGGCTGAGCTAAGCTGAGCTTTGTTTAGAGATAGGAGGTCATTCTGACGGCCATAACTTGGACTGTACTACACGAACTTAATGCTTACTACTTATACTTCAGATTTGCTTCCCTTATCAACGGCACTGATTAGTTAAAACTGGTTCGCACCCCCAAAAACCCAGCTCTGTTGGTTCGGTCTAGTCCTCATCGGTGGCCACAGACTTTCCGACTCGGCTTAATTGAGGAAAACAGACTGGGACATCGGACTACGGAGCACAGATAGGGAGGAGAGCTTATCTGTCCTAGTTCAAGGCAGTTTTAAAATCATTCTTAAATGATGATTTTTTTACTAGGTCATTTTTTGAGTCATCGTTATGGGAGAGTCTCAGCTATAGTTTTTTATACCACTTTTTAATAGGAAACTTGGATTATAAATACAATATAATAATATATTTTTGAAAACTTCATTATTAATGAATTTAAATATTTAAAGGAAAAGAAAAAGTTATTTAAAGTCTGGTCTCCGTTTTACTGCAATTTCCCTAAATTTAACCAGAAACTCATGAAAGCAATGAAAAATATAGATATATTTATTGTATAGTATTTTATTTAATATTTAAATTACTAAAACATAACAAATTTTTCAAGAGGCTCAAGTTTTTGCGACAATTTCCTAAACTATACAGTTTCATTATTTTTAAAAACACTATGCTTTGAATTTGGTATCGAATTCTGCAAGCCATGCATTTAATTTAAAATTTTCATGCTACTTTGGCTGTGTAAAGAAGTCGGGCCAAACCGAATTAATTCAGCGGTCGACCGACTCAGTTGCCGGTTTTAGCCAGTTCGAGGCGGTTCTGGTGGCTCCAAACAAAGCAAGAAAATTGTGGAAAATTTTTAAAACAATTTTGGTGTCAAGAAAATAAACAAAACAATAGAAAACTCTCAATGGAAATCTAGAAAGATGATATTAAAGCTTGTTTGCGTTCATCTGTGTGGTTTTAAAATGATTTACCAAATTCTGGGATAGCTTTAAATTTACTCGAAGTCGGCGAGAATGTTAAGAGAGGTCAGACACCGATATTCAGTCGCATTATTATGAGAAATTAAATAAAAACCAAACAAGAAAGTAAACTAGTTTCGAAAAGCCGAAGTTTATATACACTTGCAGTTTGCACTGGAGTTATAGGATATTAATTCATATTTTTATATGCAAATTTAAACAAATCAAAATTTAAAATATTCATAACTAAGCCTAAAAACCATTTATTTTTATTCAAATAGCTTTCCTATCTTAATTTTTATTGTGTTAATAAATCTGCATACTCAAAATACGATTTAAGAAAATATACATTTTTGGCAAATTTATTTGCAATTTTAACAATGTAACCCCTTATAAAATTTTCAAAATTTTAAAAAAATTGTATTTTGGCCGAACATAGCTAATCATAACTGATCAAGAATATATATGATTTATAGGGTCGGAAATGACTCCTTCATTGCGTTACAAGCCTCTCACTAAAATTGTAATACCCTAATAAGACTTATAAAAAGTGCACAGATTCTTGTTTGCTGGCCAAAACCGGAATGCTAATGTTTATTTATTTTATTTTTTAATTATGCCGACAAACAAAGTCTGCTGATTTTGTACACCCCCTTACAGCTCTCTTTCAGACAAGATTAATTGCTTATAAAAATCCACTTTAAAAAAGCAAGTCAAAACAATCAAGAACTAAATTAAATTGTATCCAAAAAATATGGGTTCAATGTTCCAATCAAAATAAGGGGAAATTTCCAAAAAAAAAAAAAAACCTGTGAAAATAAAACCTGTATTTTTTATTAGAAAAGCTTTTAGTGGATTCTACAACTTAGAAAACAAAAACTTCCAAGCTCTGGATTTTAGTAAGAAGCTTTGGCTTCTTAGTTACTCTCAATGTTATTTAAATTTAAGCAATTTGTTGCTAAATCTGTTTGTCAACATTTTGATTAATCGTACTTTAACCCCAAAAACTAAACCAAAGCCAAACCAATGTCTTAAACTCTTTTCTCACAATGCCTATTTATAGCCGAGCAAACATAATTTAAAGCAATCAATTGAGGGGCTATTCCACTCGAAAATATTTCATTTATAGACATATATGTTTTTAAATATAAATATTATAAATACCAGAGTTTCATTTGAGAATTTAATTTGTATTGAATATTTAAGCAAATGGCTTATTTTTGATATTTAAAATCGGACTAGTTTACGGTTGTACTGATTATCGAATGCGTTTAGCTATCTATATAATATATGATATATCTATATATATATATAATATATGCAAATTTTCCTTCTGATATAATTTTTTTTGTACTGTAATAACCCTAGAAAAAAATCACTTTCCCTGGAAAATCTCCCCTAAAGGGCATCCATCCCATTTTACCCCCACAACCGACTGGACTTCTTCAATTTCGCGCACTTGATTGGCGCACAAAGGCAAGGCAACGCGATCTGCAAAAAAAAAAGTATATATGTATATATATTAAAAAAACTACACTTTGTGGGTGGAAAAGAGAAGAAACTTAATTCAATTGAATTGACCAGCGTCTTGGGGGCAGCAGCAGCAGCAGCAGCAATTTGTGCGACTTTTGTGATAAGCTCCAAGAGGAAGCCTGCGATTAAGCTTAATTAATGCACTCTAGTCCGAGATTTATGCTTGGGCTATGTGCGAGTCTCCTCCTCGGGGGCTTTTCACGTGTAGAAAAATAGATTAAACGTCTGGACGCCTCGTTGAAGTGGCGCTCAGGGTTATAAGTGGGACTTGTAGGACAGTCCAGTGCACTTGCCTGTTGCTTAATTGCAGATTTTAATTACAGGAACTAGAAAAGTATATAAAACCCCTTTTTAAATAGAAAAATATATATTGATTTGAAAGTTGATCAGGTATGGAAGGTAAGTAGAGATACATTATAAATATATTTATCACAACATTGTATTAAAAATTTATGTATTTATTGATTTGCGCGTCTATTTTCAAATTCAGTAATCAATATCAATAATTATACCCTTGCACGTCATTATAATTTTAGTCAGAAGCTTGCAAAGCTGTGAAGGAGTCATTTCCGACCCTATAAATCATATATATTCTTGATCAGAATCAAAAACCAAATCGATCTAGCTATGTCCGGTTAAAATTAAATTTTTTCAAAATTTTGAAAATTTTATAAGGGGTAAACATTGTACAAAAAAAATTGATATAAAATTTCAATTTTTTAAAAATTTTAATTGAGTATGCAAATTTATTACCCCAATAAAAACTAACATAGGAATGCTTTCCGAATTAAAATTAATGCGTTTTTGGTTTAGTTATGAGTTTTTTTTATTTTGATTTATCGAAAAAGTTCATTTAAAAATGAAGTTAATATCGATTAAAAAATGGTATTGCACCTTCAGTCAGAAGCTTAAAAGAAAGTGAAGGAGTCACTTCCGACCCTATAAATCATATATATTCTTGATCAGCATCAAAAACCAAATCGTTCTAGCTATGTCCGGCTAAAATTAAATATTTTCAAAATTTGGAACATTTTATAAGGGGTAACATCATTAAAATTGTAAAAAAAAAAAAATAAAAAATTTCAATTTTCTAAAAACTTTAATTAAGTATGCAGATTAATTAACGTATAAAAAACTAACATAGGGCTGCTTTCTGAATTAAAATTAATGCAATTTTGGCTAAGCTATGCGTTTTTTAAGGCTTGAATTTTCAATACAAATTTCATATGGAAATATCATCAAATATAGATTCAAAGAATGAGAATATTTTAAGCTAAGTTATAATCCATTTCCAATTCCATCCAATAATTTAATTTTAAACAGCAAAGGATATATGAACACTTTTAAAGTGTTTATTATTATTAATAAATATCCAATTTAATAATTTCTTCAAAACTGTTCTTATATCTTTCTTTAATGTATTTTTCAGATATTTTATTTATGCTTAAATACACATTAATTTGCATTTTCCGCCCCAAAACCCTTGCTGACTAGTGCCCCAGAGTGAGATACTCTTTTTCCCAGCCACATTTTCCATATCTCCTGGATTGTACACACACACACACACAGACACATTGAAAAATACCCAAAGGCGGAAAGAGGACGCACTGGCTCGCTCAAAAGCTTGCCGGTGAGAAAAGCTTGAAAACCGAAACCGAAACCGAATCCAAAACCGAATCCGAGGGGAACTGGGACTGCTGCTCCATCCGCCCCGTTGGCTCGCACGTTTCGTTGGTACATTTGTCGAGTGCGGCTGCTGCCTTCGCTTAGTCGTTTGCCGTTTGTCAACCGTTTGCCAGCGTTTGTGCCGTGCGCCGAAAGCGAGTCCAAGAAGCTCTTTGCAAGGGGAATACTATTCCAGAGGAGATAACACCCAATCTGTGACAAGAATCTCTCTCGAAATCGAAACGAAAAAGGCAACGAAATAAACAGAGAAATCTAGTGCTTAGAGTGCATCGAAATAAGTAAAATTAAATTTAACCAAAATGCAGTACATCTATGTGATTAGTGCGCTGATTTTGGCCATCGCCGTGCAGCAAGGTAATAAGGAGCAGGGAACTAAAGTCCAGAGACAACCGCGATTGCGAGATTACATAATACCAGATATGGCCAAGACGGGGGCGGGTTTCCTCCGTATCCATTTCCACACAAAATTTCCAAGGGGTTGGGTTGGGAGGAGCCATATATAGGGGAGAGTGGTGTCCTGTGGCGCCGTCCTGTCGTCGGCAGACGCCACAAGAAAGGAAAAATACCCCAAGTATCTAAGCCGGCCGCCGTGGCGCCCGAGTAATATTTGCATTCAATAGATATAGATATACATATATATCCACATAAGCTCCTTGGAGTTCCTTGAGCTCTCTGAGCGAGCACAAAAAAACGAACTTTTTTCTCTACTTCTCTACTGGCTCTCTGCCAGAGTCACAGCTTTTTCCGTAGCCTCTTTCAGCCCGGAAAATGGAAGGGAAAAGGGCACCTAGGGGTATTTTACGCCTTAATTGCGCCGGATCATAATTAAGCCCTTCGCACTATGCAAGTTCTATGAATGATGAGCTCGAGGAAATGGTATTATCTCCTAGTACTTCCTTAGTTCTTCAAGAAAATCCCCCACCTTTTTTTTTTTGGCCCACATATGTGTGTGTATGTGCAAGAATAATGTAGGACATGCGCACTTTATTTTGGTTAAAAAGGTCCTGCGGGGCAATAGATGCAGTAATCCGATACCCAAAATCGCCTCAGTGGCTTATATAAAAAGAAGTCTTGGTTCCCACAGGGCTTTCTTGTGTTTTGTAAACATTTAAATTTATTTGTGATTCGTATTTTTTTAAATAATTTGTATTTATTTATTTTTATTTTTATAAAGCAATCTATTTTGCTGGCCCGACAATGCAATCAATGCATTTTATTGCTATTTTTAGAGACTGTAACAAACCTTAATTGGCCTCGTAGACTGTGAGGGGAGCGCCAAAGCTTTTAGGGCTAATGTTTTACAATATGTTCAAAATGGGGGAAAAACTCGTTCAAATTTCAGGTGTTTTGAAGGTTATATTAACAAACATTTAAAAACTATTTCAAAAGATTCAGTCATAAGGAATTTCTTTAAAATAAATGTTTACTAAATTAATGTATATAAAAATATTCTAGACTGTATGTGTTAAATATATTTACTCCTAACTTTTTAACTATTTAGTAACTTGATTACTTCAAACCATAATTATCCTTTCATATTTCCTGCCATATTGTTGGAGAGCTAGCTCCAAAAATTAACTCATCTTACAGCCGTTTTACAATCCAAGTCATTGTCCTATCAGAAAGCTCCTAAGCTAAAAAAAAAGGGCTACTCTGGCAGCTGGATCATCTTACAACGACTTTCCTCCTTTTGTCCATTGTTTTACCCCCCCCCCAAGTAGCAACGCCTAAAAGCAGGCAACACTCTTTGTGCCCGCTTATGTAACCCAAATTGGAGGAGAGAATGGCTGCGAAGCAAAGTGAAGTAAAGTTATTCGAGTCCATTAGCAATGCCGATGTGTCAATTAACAAGCCACTCTGAAGAGCCTTCGCAGTCTGTTCCTAATGGAGGCGTCGATGGCATCGCTGTAATCACACCCAGAAGCTGGCCTTTCCTCGCCATTGTGCCATTTTTGGCACAGCGGGATGGCAGAAGCGCAATGCAACTTGCAAGTTGAAGAGGGGAATATATATATATATATATATATATGTATATCTATTCATACAAAAGTACCATACATATATTCCCGTTCCAGTGCCCAGTATATTCGAAAGATTAAATAATGCGAATCTCGTGTCGCGCACGACCTTAAATTCAATTTAGCTAAGCAATCACAAGTACCTCCAAAGATCTCTCTTTATACCTACACTATATATCTGACTGTGCCAAGTCAGACAGAGTCTCGCTCTCAGATTTGTTTACACGCTTTTTCCTTTCATAATCACTTGTTTTTTGTATAACTATTAAGGTTAAGCTTAGATGCTAAAAAATATACATTTTCGAGTGGAAAATTCCAGGGTGAAGAAAGTGTGTGTTGAATATTAGGAAATCCTCGAGAAAATAATAGGTTAACTGGAAAAACATTGAATAAATCATTTCATATTAATAAATATGTATTGTCAAATGAAAAACAACTAGACTAAACTTAATTTGCAGGCTATGCCATCAAGTGCTTTGTCTGCAACAGCCACAAAGATGCCAATTGTGCGCTGGACATACCGCCGGACAACTTGTTGAAGGACTGCGATGAGCAGTACTCGTCCCGCGGCAAGGGCATTCCCACCTACTGCCGCAAGATCACACAGATCATTGAGTTCTCCGTGAACAGCCGTGAGTACAGGCCATCTTTTAAATACAAGCAATAATAGGCTATAAATAATAATGCATAATATTTACGCTTTTGCAGTGCCCCCAGATAGCCGTGTGATAAGGACCTGTGGCTACCAGAACCAGACCTCCACCAGCTATTGCTATCAGCGTGCTGGCTTCGGTGGTCGCCAGGTGGTCTGCTCCTGCGACACGGACAATTGCAATGGCGCCGGAGCGTTGGGAGTCTCCACCACAGCAATGGTGGCAGCGGTGGCAGTGGGACTCCTCCTGGGAGCCCGCCAGTGGCTGCAGCGTTAAATAGGGCACCGAGGGAGAGCGCCACCTCAGTTGTTTTATTTTTTACTTTGTTTTTATCGAATGCATCCACCCAGTTTTTTGTTATTACGTATTGCTACCGCAGCTAACTCTCTGACATCTGTGACTCCTCACTTTCACCCGCTTTTTGCCCCCATCAACAAGGTCCACACGTAGAGCTGCTCCAGAGACTGGTGAGTAAGTCAGATTTTCAAAATTTCTATATTTCCTCTCCTAACTATATTTCCATATCCCTTTTCCAGCTCTGGGACAAGCTTAATTTTGTAACAATTTTTTGAATGAAGAACCGTAAAAGCTTTATACAAAGTATTAAAAGAAAAACAAACAGAATAATAATAATTCCCGTAAATTGAAGTGTATATAAAAAAACAAAAATAAAGGAGAGCAAGAAACCATTGGCCAATATAATCGTTCAAATTTTGAAACTAACACCACGTATTATTGCCAGAGAATGGAAAATAACGATATAAAAGAACTAAAAACCTACCGCAGTTGAAATAAAAAGTATTTAAACAAATCCAAAAAATAAACAAATAAGTCAAGAGAGGCCACAATGTTAAAAATTAAGGCTACACAAAAAACAAAATAAAATAAAAATCGTAGAACATAAACTATAAATGTTAACACAACACACTTTTGCCTAAGTTTGTCTACTTTTTAATTTCATAAGACTTAAAATTCTAAAAACATGCAAAACAAAGCTAAAGCTAATTAATAAAAGTATTTAAAACGTAAAGGTTCAACGAGGAAGAACACACACTTCATAGTATAATTAATTAGCTAACGATTTGGGTGGAGGCGGGATGTCTGGAGAACCCAAAAGGTAGTTGTGACACGCTTACGAGGCGCTGAGCTGACCACGCCCCCAAAATATCTCTACTGCACACTCCCCAAGGGAAACACACACACTCGTTGTTGTTGTTGAAAACCAACTGCCAAAAATTAAAAAAAAAAAGGGAAACGGAAACGGAACCTGAAACCGGAAGAGCGAGCATAGGAGGCAACATACCCGTAGAGGAAACACTAACCACTGAACCATGTTTGTCCATCGTAGGCTATATAAAAATGCAATTTCAAACCGAAAACCGATTTATAATAATAAACATTAAACGTTACAGAAGAAAAGCAAAACAAAGCAAGCCCCGAGTACATCATTCCTTTAGTTCGAATAGCAAAATTAACTCAGTTTATAGTGACAATTTTTATTAGTTAAGAATCTCCTCTAAAAATGCAATATTTGTAATGCAATAAAATTGTAAAATGTTTAAAGTGAAAAACAATAAATATGAATACAAAAAAGATGAATTGCTTTCATATGTATATCTCGTATTTTTCTAAACATATATGGCCAGTGTAATTTGCATAGTTATACAATCTATTGAATTGTATATAAAAAAAAGATATAAAGAATTTCCAAAATGGTTAAAATTTTTAGCTAAATTATCTCAAATATAATTTAGATTTTACAGCTTTAGGTAATTTTATACAGAACTCCAACATCAACTATTAGGGGTTAGGGAAAGAAACTAATTAAATTCTTTACAAATTTTAGCATTTTTGAAGTGTGAAACTAGAAAAATATTTAAGAAAATTGTTTAATTTTTAGAGAATATAAATCAAATTACTAAACAGTCTCCAATAATCCCTTCCCAAATTCCTTGAAATACAGGAACCAAAATCTATGCAAATTATACTGCAAATTCCCTGCCACAGAACCCGACTTTTAACTAAGAACAAATGGATTGCAAACTGAGATGGAAGTCAACGAATCTAACTACGCCTCTTTATGCACCACCCGTTTCAGAGCTAGGTAGCAATGGCGTGTGGCTAAATCGTGATATCCCACGGGTCCCCTCTCGCAATCGGCGCAAACCAGAAACTTCCTACCGTCCACGGTGTTGGAGAAACCAATATTCTCGAACGTCATCATGTCCTTGACCAGCCAAAAGTCCTGCAGTGGCTCTGTATTCAAGCTATCCGCTGTCCTATCCTGCTTCTGCATCATTAGCGGCACTTCCACCTGGCAGAACGAGAGATGTAAACAAAGGTTCCTGCGGACAAGGGGGCAACCGGCACTCACTTCCTCCTTGCTGTAGATGCCCTCCTGGGCCTTCAGCATCAAGCTGTTGCAGAATTGGCAGCGCACATTGGTCTTGTTCTTGCCCTCATCTATGTGAGCGGAAAAATCAGCTTCTTCTGTCATTTTTTCTGTTTTTAATACTTATTTTTATCAGAAAGAGCAATGAGTTTATTAAATCGATATTTGGTCTATCGATAAGCTTTATATCGGTGTAGAACAAAACTGAAAGTTTACCAACACTTACCAGTGCTTGAAGTACCAATCGATATTTATTTTGACCGTTACATGGTAATTTTAAAAAATATACAGTTACTAAACCAAATTTATGGGATATCGTATTTGAAATATTTTGGAATTATTATGGTGTCAATGGCATTTTCCATTAACTGTACCTAACTTTACCAAAAACACATTTCTGACAAAGACTCGCCAAAATCGATATTTATTTAAAAGTACAGGGTGTATTTTAAATGATAAATTCAGTTCATTTTTCTTCTTAAGCCATTTTACAGTTTAACAAGTTTAATTTTAAAAAATTAACATGTATACAAATAGCAAATAACACATTTTGTACAATTTTGAAAGAGTCTATCATACAATTTTCACTCAATATTAGTTTTTGGTTGTACCTGAAACGTTTGTTGTTACATTTTCCAAATTTTTTTGAGAAGCCAAAAACTTTGTTTCCGTTATAATTGGCTTTATATTTTTTATTGGGTTAAAAAATATATCTTATTTGCAACGGTCACACTGAAGTGCAGGCGATAGTCGATACCACCGGACAATTTCACTGATCGCTTAACATCTCTAGTGGCCATTTTGGAAAAGAACAAAAAAAGTTCCTTTTGCCGTTTGACTTCCTGGAGAGTAGCAGCTGGTGTTTTTTGCCAATAATCTACCGCTTAAGTGAGATTGTGCGAGGTGACCGTGACGAAGTACCAGGTAACTATTTTGCAGAGAAGAATCACCCACGTGTTTTTGTTTCCTGAAAGCTAACCTTACTATTCGCAATGACTCTTGTTTCGGATTTATTTTTTGTTTTCCTTTTTCTTTGGTAGTGAATTCTTTTGCTAGATATTCAGAATTGTGTGAAGCTGAGCATGAATTTCCCAATATTTCACGCTCCCCCCCTGGCCACGCAGTCAATGCGCCAGCAGTCTTTGTATCAGCAAACCTATTTGGACCGCAACCGTATGATCACGGATGTGTTTGTCCAGGAGCATGTCTTGCAAACCACCTGGGCTTTAGCCCCCGCGCTGCCACCGGCGGCTGTGATAATTCCCGGAAGTGTGAACTGTCCCGTTACCCATCAGCCGACACCGGTAGCTGCAGCCCCAACCCCAACCCTCTTGGGACCCATGGCCTATGTGCCCATTCCGAATGTCCAGTACTACGCAGCCAGTTCTGGTGAGATTCGATTGAGTTCTCAGCTCCTCAATTATGCACGTCTTCCGTTTGCTTAGCCTCGATGAACGCCTATGGCCAAGGTCAGATGTATACGGCTCGTGCCTCGACCTCGACTGCCAGCTGCAACGTGCCCGGCTTCTTTGTGCCACAGTACTATCAAGGCGGTAGCGGCAGCAGCAGCAGCAGCGGTGGCGGAGGACCTGCTGGTCCTCAGCCCACCAAGCCTTCCACCGTGTCCAATGGCACGCAGTCCCAGTTCCAGGCTCCGCCTCCGCCACCGAATCGCACCTGTGATGCCACCACTCAGGCGGACTTTGTGCCCGATGAAGCTAGTGAGGTAGAAACACTGCCGCTAGTTTCCGACGAAGAAAAGTAAGTTCAACCTTGATTACTTTTAGAAATCTCCAATAATTTTGAATTTAAATTTTAACACTTTTTTCAACAGTTTTAACTTATTTTCTTAATATTTGAACTTCCAGTTCTAATTATAATAGGCTAAAGATAAGTAATTTTTAACATAAATATTTACAGCTCTGGTTGGCAGCACCAATCGTTGTTGGGTGCATTTTTGCGCAACATGTTCTTAGCAACATTTATGATTCATTCAGAGTTCCATTTTAATTCATTTCCAATAGTCCACTTTAGTATTTCTACCTGTCTTTCAAGAATATCATACAGGTTCGCTTTTACTATCATTCTTTAGGACTCTCGACTTTAGCGACAGTTCTTTGGACAACAGCGGTGCCGGTGACGGATTGCGTGTGCACTCAGGTGCCAAGCGCAACTCGGAGGTGTTGCTCCAACAGCAACGTCTCCACGACATCACCACGTTATCGCTTCAGGGCTGTGAGATTGCCGAACGCCTAGCCACTGCCCATCGCAACCGTCCGTGCTTCAAGAAAATCGACACCCTCTGTGGCCGCTTGAAGCAGGACCTCCTGCGACCGGATGGCGTCTTGGCCAACATCAACTCCCAGGGCATCGCCTGGGCTGTCAAGGACTTTATATTCGTCTTTACGCGCATTGTGAATGCTTGGGTAATCATGAAGGGCTATGTTTATAATACGCCTGATGGCCTGAACAAGATAAAGGATGAGTTGCCAAGTGGCTTTATGTCAACCTTTGATTCCTGGCAAAATGAAACCCAAGCCCTGGTGCAGATGATTATTAAATCCTTTGTAAGCCTTGATGACCTGCTCCTAAAGCAGAAGAATTCGTTTACAAGCAAAGATCTGAGTCTGAACAATAGTAGCTCAATCTGGAGCTTTAATGATAGCAACGAGAGCACCACGTCGTGCAAGAAAAACAATTGTATCACGGCTGCTCAAGGACTAGGTCCAACGGCCAGCAGCTCACCGATTATCGCTAATGGGGGATCAGGAGGACCTGGTGTTAAGCCACCATCAGAGAGCGATGAACAGCGAATGGCTCCCACCACTGCTCTCTACAAGCCCAAGTCCAATGTGAGTCTCAACTATCTGTATACCATGATCGAGGATTCGGAGGAGACGCAGCGCAACGTGGACGCCAATGGCACTTACCTCAAAACTGGCACCTATCAGCCGCTCCAAAAGGAGATGTTGAAACAAATTGAGATGACCCCACAGAAGCCGCAACCCAGGGAGCAGCACGTCGAGCCCCAATGGCCGTGGAAGGGTTATCCATCGGCGAAAGCGTTTGTACAGCCGCCAACTCCAGTAGCTCAAGAGCATCGTCAGGAAACCTGTCGCAGCCAGTTGGATCCTCATATCGATTCGAGGGGTTGCATTAATCCCTTTAGCCTGATCAAACGTGATGTCACACGGCAGCTGCACGAGCTCAGTGCTGGCATCATGGATCTCCAGAACTTGGACCACTTTTTCCAAAAGCAGTTCACCCGTAATTATGTGAGTAATTTCTTAGTGGGTGTAAAACAATTATATATCGAGATAAATATCAAAATTTTGTATAAAAATTAATGATGGGAAATCGATTATAACTAAACCAAAAATTATTTTGCAGTACCCGGACTTCTTCCAGCGATGCCAGGATGACTTTATTGATATTCGCACCATTGTACTGCAATGCGAGACCGCCTCCTACAATCATCTTTATCATGCTATTCACGACCTACGTCGCATCACCTTTGTGGTGCGATGCTATCTACAGGTATTGATTGGATTGGTTTTCACCAAAAACCAGCAAACACTACCATTTTTTTTCTTTTTTTGTGTGTGTTTTTTTTCGTTCCGATAATTATTATTCTGCTGCATTTTTAGATCAAGGAGCCACGCTAAGGTATCGGTATGAGTGAAGCCTTTTTAATGGTCTAATGCACTAATCACTGGTTACCATTTGGGCACTAATCTCATATATTTACACTCAGAACTTACAAAAAATATGTCTAAATCATTTTTAAAAAGGCATATTATTTGTGAGCTCTATCATCAACACATTAACCATAACTCCATTAGCACTCTTTAATTAACACTGCACATTTAACTCACAACTAACCTAATCTTTTTACTAACTTAAAATTGCTATCCCAGATATATTCGGACGTTAAACTGCAGGAGTACGTTGAACTTTATGAAAAATCTGTGAATGAAATGCTGTCCAAGCCACCGCACAAGCCCAATCAATACGATCATATCGTGGGGCGCCCCGGCGAGAAGCTTTTCAACTACCAAATATGAGACATCAAGACACACGTTTCTTGTTACCTTTTAGGTATTTTGTCAATGAAAATCAAGTGTTAAAAAAGCATTCGAATCAATCATGGTCGCAATTAGCATGTTGTTAACTCTTAGAGAAAGTAATTTTAGTTTTTTTGTTTCATAAACAATTTGTTGAGCCTGTCTATAGAAAGAATTTCTCGTAATGTGATTTATATATTATATTTTTGAATTTGTAACCACATTTCACAATCGCCTTTCTTTTTGCACTACAAAAATAGTATATAGTAGTAATTAACTTGAATCTAACTACTTTCATTAGTCAAGTTAGGAACACAAATATATAATACAAAATTATAATCTATACAAATTAATAAAAACAATAAATAAAATCGTACAACAATTTGACTTATTTACAAGGTTCCATTCATATTTGCTTTTATTACTAATTCGTACCGGCAAACTCATCCGGGTTTATGTCCTGAGCCAATAGCATGCCGTGGAAAATTGTTGAGCTATTGGAGGCCAAATCCTGCGGTCTGCCCTCTTCACAAATCCGACCGTCATCCAGGACTATAATCCGGTCCATGGCCTGGAGTCCACGCAGCCGATGGGCGATGAAGAGTAGAGTGCAACTCTTGAAGGCATTTCGCAACGCCTGCTGCATGCTCAAATCGGATTCATCATCCAAATTGGAAGTGCCCTCATCAATTGCCACGACCTTGGCGTTTTTCAATAAAGCCCGGGCCAGGCAGAGGAGTTGCCTTTGCCCTGCGGATAAGTTATTGCCACACTGCTCCACCTTGCCATCCAGACCGCCCAGTTGCTGGACGAGAAGAGTGGCAGCCGCCGAGTTCTTGATAGCATGCCAGATCTCCGAGTCATAGAAGGCGTGACGTGGATCCAGATTCTCACGAACTGTGCCTAGAAAAGGGTGTGAACATATTATAGAGGAGTTTGTAAGGTTTACGTTGAACCTAACTAACCTTCAAAGAGATACGGCTCCTGGGTGATGACTCCTATCCGTTCACGTAGCACACTCAATGCCAGAGTTTTCAGATTCACCTGATCCAGCCGAATATCGCCATGGGTCAAGGGAGCTACTCGCAGGAGAGCAGCCAACACCGAAGTCTTGCCCGCCCCTGTGCGTCCCACAATGCCAATCCTTTCGAAGGCCTCCGTTTGGAAGGTAACACCTCTCAGGGCAGGCGCCAAGTGTTCCCGGTAGCTCAGTTGGACTTCGCGAAAACTCAACACTCCTTGCGTGGGCCAACCAAATGGCGGATCAGCGCTGCCCGCTGCATTCTGCTCTCCCTCCAGCTGTAGATATTGATCTATTCGCTCCACGGCCACCAGCTCCTGCTCCGTCTCTGCCACGGCATGCAAAAGATCTCCCAATTGGCCAGTTATAGACAGCGCATAGGAGATGCAAAGCCCCACTAGACCAGGATTGGTTGTATGCGAAGCCGTTATGGCGGCCAAGAGACCTGCTCCACCAACCAACAGCGTTCCCAGCAACTGGAGGCGCAGAGCCAACCATTGCTGCGCCGCTGATTGCGTCAACTGTGCCTTAATACTCTCCTCCAGCTTCACCTGAAAGTCCCTTTGAAATCGGGGACTGGCTCTCATGCTCCTTATCGTGGTCAATCCCTGCAGCGTTTCCGTAAAATGTGTGTAAAGCGGCGACATGGCGTTGCTCGACAGCCGCTTGATGTCCCGGGAGGCATGACGATAACGCTGCTGCAGATTCAGATAGATGGGCACCATGGGAATGATGATCAGACCCAGCCAGGGCATGGCATACAAGCTGACGCAGAGCGCACCCACCAACCCAGCCAGTTGAGCCAGTAGAATGTTGAGGATGAAGGGCAGGGAATCGTCCACAGTGTTGGTATCCGAGGAAAAGCGATTTAGAATGCGACCCACCGAGGTGATGTCAAAGAAATTGAACTTGGCCTGAGTGAATAAAGAAAATTAAATCAAGGAATCCTGCTGGATACGGAATTTCTTTTACTTACAAACATGACTTTCTTCAGCAGATTCTCATGCACGAAAATAGCCGCCTTGATGCCCGCGTAGGCAAACAGGAAAGCCCGGGCCAGAGTCACCAGAGAATTGGTCACCGCAATGGCCGTGAAGATGCTCAGATAGAAGCCCGTAGTGTGACCCGAATCCGTCTCATTTCCCAGTCCAGGGCGCATCAATTCATGGTCCAACGAAGTATCATTCGGATGTGGATCCAATGTGGTCTCCGTGACCCAATGTGCTAACCACGCATCGCTCATATTCCTGGTCAGCTGCATTAGCAGAACGAAGAGCAAGACAGTGGAGGCCAAAGGAGAAGTCACCGCCTTCCAGTAGCAGGTGAAGACATTACTCGACAGATGACCGTATTCCCTCGATTCTTCCAGGAGCAAACTATCCACACTCTTCTTGTCATCTTGATTGGCCAACTCCACCGAACGTCGTCGACTTGCTTGCTCCTGCTCTTCGTCTACTTCCTCCTCTAAGCTCAAGTCAATGCTCTGGGTCATGTATTCGCTGGGCAGAAGATGGCCATCCTTCACCTGGAGTATCTGATTGGCGTGGAAGAACAGCTGAATGCTACGAGTGACCACAATGCGAGTTTTGTGCTTCAGCAGTCGCAGTATACAGTGCTTGATGATATGCCGGGCCACATGGGCATCCAGTGAGGAAAGTACATCGTCCAGGAGGTAAACTATGGATAGAACATATATAGCAGATTAAATGTATTACGATAATTATTTTATCTGCTCACCCTTCTTGTCTTGATAAACAGCCCTGGCTAGGGCCACTCTGGCCCGTTGACCGCCAGACAAGGTCCTGCCATTTTCACCCACGCCAATGAGATCTCCGCCTAGGATCTGCAGATCCTCCTCCAGAGCACAAGCATGCAGTACCGTCTTGTACCACTGTTCGTCAAACTGAGCACCCCACACGATATTATCTCGGATGGTGCCCCTCTGGAGCCACGGCGACTGTGGCACATAGCCAAAGCCTGTGGTCAGCTCTTGGACGCACACCTCGCCATCGGTGCACTGCAGGTTGGCCACAATGGCTGTGAGGAAGGTGCTCTTTCCACCGCCCACAGGCCCTTCAATGCAGACCAGCTGGCCCGCCTTAACATCCACGTTGATATCCTTGAGGCGGAAGGCAGTTGCTTCGGAGTTCTCCTCGTGACAAAAGCTGGCGCATTTCATCTGCAACACACTGGCTCTGGGAGCATCCAAGGGGGCATCTTCCAGGTCTCCTGATCCCGAAATACCGCCACTTCCGCGCATGATGGGATTGTAGTAAGAGGAATAGTCCAAATTGGGAACGTCCATGAGCTGTTGGACTCTCTTGATCGACACCCAGGCCTCGATTAATCCATTAAGAACCCAGGGAAAGGCATTTAGTGGACCAATCAGCATGTAAAGCAGCGCCACACTGGTATATGTCGTAGAGGCTATCAAGGGATTACCCAGCAGCACAGATACACCAAAGGTAAGCAGGCACATAAGCACGGGCGTGGTGGCCCAGAAGTAAACGCACATGGCATCTAGGTATTTCCTCTTTGAGAGAAATCTTAGCTCCTCTTGGCGCAGTCCTCGTATCTTTGTTATGAATATATCCTCCCACGCATTGATCTTGATCTGCTTGGCTCCCTGCATGGTCTCTGTTGTGGCCGAGAGCCTCGCATCCTTGGCTGTCATTAATCCAGTCGAGTAAATGCCAATCCTCTTGGCCAACCAGCGGTTGATAGGTATGAGTAAGGCGGCAAAGAGTACGCCGGCGAGAAAGGCAGCGCCCAATTGCAGGTAAAGCAGGTACAGCGTCGTAAATAGCTTGAAGGGAATGCTCCAGAAGAAGTGGAAACTGATGCACGAGTTCACAATCCTATCCGTATCCGTTGACATAAGATTTAGCATGTCTGGCCTTGAGTCCTTGATGACCCTTGCCTCCAAGGCCTTTCGGTAAATGGAGTTCACCACGCCTACGCGCATCTTCATGGAGACCATGGCCATACGCCAATCAAAGTGCGTTGAACACAAAGCCGAGAGCAGGGTGCTTCCAAAAAGTCCCAATGCGTAGTAGTACACTTCGTTCGAGTCCGTGTGATCCTGTCGAAGGAGTCCTCCCAGCAGCAAGGGTCCCGCAAAGCCACTTAAATCCGCAATCAATCTTAGAACTCCAATCAGATAGAACTCTACGCCAAAGCACCGGTGCAGCGCTCTCCACAAGCTCTGGGATTGTGACAAGGCCAAGTGCAGTCGCTCACTCAATCGTGTGATATTCAAGGCCTCTGGCAGATCGAATAGGTCCTCGATTTTCCTCAATTTTCCTGCCACTCCCTTGGCTATCAGGGGATAAACCCAATGGAATAGGAAGCGGGATCCCACATTAGCTTCATCCTGCGCGTGGCCCAAGTGACCTTCGTTCAGATCAAAATGGAAGTAAGTATAGCGCTGTGACAGAAGCCCCTCCTCTTCGCCACTGCTAACTCCTCCTCTGGGAATGCTCGAGTAGACCGCGTTTCCTTTGGGTAAAAGAGTGGCTCCAAACAAAAGGTCGCACAGCAGCGTGGCCAAACTCCAGGGCCACCAAGCAAAATGGCGACTTGTCCGTAGCCAGACGCCATCTAGAACCACAACAGTGAGCCAGACCACATTGATTAGCAGCGATCCACGGTGACTAAGCTCACCACATTGACGGGCCGTCAAAAGGAAACCTATATGATGGGAGGGAAGGGAAATCAGAAAAAGGTGATAAAGTAAATGGTCCGCGAGTGTGATTAGTTTTAATTAGTTGTTTCCTGGAAAAGCTGGGTATTTTGTATATGTTTTACTTTAAGAAACTTATAAGGGTTTCTTTACGAAACTCTGACTGTTAATGAACGAGTATTTTTAACATTCATTGGTTTTATTAAAAAGACAACGTATATGCTTTCATTATTTGTTCAGCAAAATGTTAAATAAATAAAGGCAAGACATTAAATGTTATTTCAGCTTAACTGTGACTATCTATTTCTCTCTAAAGATATGGGAAATGCCTAATTGACTTTTAAAACGTTTCGAAAATTGAATAAATTCGATTTAGGAGAACGATTAAAGGCTATGTTTTAATTATGTCTTCTGTAAACTCAAAAAATACTCAATGAAATCGAAATCCAAGAAAGTGAAAGCCGGAAAAGACCCTTATAAGTGTCATGAAATCAATACCAAGCAGGGAAAACCACACAAAGGCAACACTCACCGCTGTGAACGACCCACATAATGCACTCGGCACAGGCGACCAGCACATCCGCCGCATGCAGTTCAATGCCCGCCTGCTGGAAGGCGAACACTTTGGCCACCGGCAGCAGGGCCAGCACAATGGCCAGAAACGTGCGCAGCCACAACATACGCAGCTGTAGGCCATTTCGGATGACGGGCCTCGATTGACTGCCGAAATTGTAGGCGGATATCGCTGCGAAGATCGTGTAAACGGGCAGCTGGAGCAGGATCTCCTGGAAGCAGGGCAGCAAATCGTTCGTATCGTTGGCGAACGGCGTCAATCCCGTGGGACAGAACTGCGTCCAATTCCAGGCAAAGTCGCTCCACGCCATATTCGATGCGGCGGGGATTCCTTTCCTTGTTCTTTGCTTTAATTGCGATCAATTAGTCATCGCCGACGCGGACTGCACATTTGCACCACTCTGAACCACCGAGTGGCGTTTATGCGCGGGTAGTGGGTAGTGGGACAGCGATAAACACAACACAACAATTTCTGATAAAGATTCGTTGTGAAAATGACTTTATGGTTTGTCGGTGCTGCCAACCTGCTTCAATGTGCTATGGAAATTAAGCCGGTAGGCAGTCCGATCTCTTCATAAATTCTCCAAAATGATATATTTTTTGCAATAAGTAAAAACTTTAATAAAACCATAAATTAATTTAAAAATTAATAAAGAATATGGATTTTATGAAACTAAAAAGAGAGAGTTTTCCAAATTGATTGCAAAATAGAAGCGATAGTAGTGCTGCCAACTCTGTTCAATGCAAGACCGGAGCAAGAAGAAGCATTTGTTTACATTTTTATTTCACACCATTTCCAAAACTTGTGTAAACAATTATGACAACCGGCGGCGAAGCTGAGGGAGAGGATGAACTACCTGTAGAGCTTACAGACATCTTCAAATCCCTGGCTGAAAACGAGAAAATCGTCTTCAAATCGCAGCAGATTGATGATCCGGAAATTCCAATTGTGGAGAAGCAAAAAATTGCTCGGGAATCATTTAAAAAGAACCGAGAAACATTTCTTATACGATTTGGTGGCTTCCTTAGTGTCCGACAACTGAGTTCCTTCCAGGAACTGGCTGTTGGAGAGCCCCATAAGCCGGAAGAAAGCCTTGAGGAGATGTGCCTGCTTCTGGAGGATTTCAAAAGAAAGCTAAGCACACGCGAGGTGTGCATCAAGAACAGGAGATACCATGCCATGCAGCAGCTGCTGGAGAAGGGTGAATACTTCAGTGAACACGAGATGATGCAAAGGGCTCCGGATCTCTACCAGGAACTGGTGGGTCAGTACCTAACCGAGGCGGAGAAGAAGGCGCGGGATAGCTACGATGTGAGGAACACCAGCTTCTCGGGCATACTCATGCACTCTTTGGAGAAGCAGCAGCGTGATGAGTTGCTAGCGGAAACGCAACAGGAAAAAGTAGAGGAGGCAGTCGAGGAAATCACCAGTGCTCCTGTTCCTCCTGCTCTTCCCGAATTTGAAGTCCCTGTAGCCTGTCAGAAGCAATGGGGCGCCTTTGATGACGATGAGCCCGTTGCCTGCTCCACTAGTCGAGTTGCTAAAGCTCGTCCGCCAGCGAATATAGCGCAGATCTCAACCCCGGAGTTCTATAATCCCGGGGAGCGAGAACTCCTCCGACATGAGTTCCTCAGCATGATGAAGGAACGATTTTTGCAAGGCGAGGACAAGGACTTTGATTATACAGCCGTCGACGACAATTCCCAGCTGGATGATCTCAAACAAATTGAACAAGATGAGGAGGATGCCTACTTCGAGGACAGTGACGAAGAAGAGGAATTGCCAGAGCAGGCTAACGAGTCAAAGGAAGCCGCCTCAAGCGAGGAGGACGAGCTGGATATTTATATGCGGCATCTTAGCAATCACCATAGTTTACAAAATTAAAGTTATATCTTATAGAAAGCGTACAAACTTACAGTTTAAATTGTAAGACCAGCTCTTAGATAAAGCGTCAGAGAGGAAATTGCAAAACTAGCACTTGCAGCAAATATAGTCTTTAATCTTAATCTAATCCCTTAAAAAATCTTGATCTTAGACACTAGAATACATGCAGAAAAGTTGCTGATGGGAGTTAAAAATGAGACAGTGCTGGCTATCTAGGCCTGCCACGACCACGTGGAAAGCCCCGTCCTCGTCCCCTTAGCACCTTGCTATTCGGTGGCGGACTCTTGGGCCTCAGTAGCTCAATCCGGCTGGTGCAACCCGTAGCCGGAGCCTCCGCAAAGTACGTTTGATAGACCTCCGCATTAAAATTGGAGTTCGTCAGCTCTGGCCCAAGAGTCAACCATCCTGGTCGGATGCTTGAGTCTCGGCCAAACAAATGCAGGCGCCGGCGGCCCAAGCAAAAGTGCTCGATAATATGAAAGATCTCGATGGGTTTCTCGAAACTACCGAACTCCTCCTCCTCCGATATGATCAAATCAATGTCTACATTGGCATGGATGAAATCGCCATCGGTGGAGCGGCGTACAGTGCCCTTGATGCCCATCAGGCAGTGCTCCTTGGTGCGCTGAAAGACAGCCTTCGGCTCGAGCTGCTTGGAGTGGCCGGGCTTGTTGATATTTGTGCGTATCCAGCAGATATCCTCACAACGACGGAAGCCCCACTTTTTGAGGCAGTTACGACCCATGTCCAGGCCCTCCGAAGAGCCGCACCAAAGAAACACAAATGAGCGGTGGGCGGCTATCTCACCCACATCCAAATCTGACAGAGAATAGAAAGTTAGGAACTAAAGATTGAAGTATATTGGAGGTAACTTACTAAGTATATCATCCCAGTTCCAAAAGACACGTGGTGCTCCTCCAACGGTGGCCACCGAAGGCGCTGCCCTCGCATACTCCTCCAGCGGTGGCTCAATCAGAATTACATCGAACTTGGTGCCTAATGTCTTGAATTCCAGCGTCTTTAGATCCGCCTTCAGATACATGGGAGCAGATGCCGTGTCCTGGATGAGTTTGTCCTTCAGCTTAATAAGTTCCCTCAGCTTGGGATACTCCTCGAAGCGATCGGCCAGGCCCACGTCACGGATAAAGTTCTGGGGACGCTGTCCCGTGTCGACAAAGTGCTGGCAGTAGTCGTTGTGTGGATTGGAAGACTGTGTCCCCTTCAGAAACGTGGATGAGTCCCTGTAAATGATTTCATTTGGAGTTTTCTTCGAAGACGAAGCGCCGCCATCCTCCTCCTCCCTCTGGCCGCTGGGATTCAGCTGGCGACTGTTGTTAGTGTCCTCCGCATTGCCTAAGACCTTCTTCAACTCATCCACGCTAGACAGACCGAACTAAATTATGATGAATACACATTTTTTTGCATTAAATTTCCATACTCATTGTTTTCATTGTGTCGGAATACTTACGGTTTGCGCTAAAAGCAAGCGCCGCTTGCGGGATCGCTCCTGGGAGTTTTTCAGCACATCGCTCATGACCAATTTTGGTATAATAACGTGTTAAAATTTCTGTAAATAGTGTATTTTTACGAAAAACTTGTAACTTAAATAAACACAACTAAAAATTTGCCATCTAGTGATGGCAAACTGATAATGGCGGCTATCGATAATAACTATCGTTTGGAATTTATTTCGGATGATAAATGCAATAAAACTACAGAAGAAAATTAAATTATTGAATGAAAATTACGGTCGTAAAAACAAAAAACCAATTAAATGTTTATTATGACGCGAGAACTGTTTGAATATATGCATTTGCAATAAATTGTATAGAAAGAATAGATAGTAAACATATTTCAGATAAATAATACAATAATGCAACTACAGAAGAAAATTCAATTTATGAATGAAAATTATTAAATTATTAAAATGTTTAATATAGAGTGACAACTATGTTTGAATATATCCATTAGTAATAGATTGTATAGAAAGAATTATAAAAGATTCTTAGAGTAGCCGATAGTAAAAATTTTTCAGATAAATAATGCAATAATACAACTACAGCAGAAAATTCAATTTTTAATGAAAATTACTGTTGTAATAATAAAAAATAATTTAAAATGTTAAATATGACGTGAGAAATATGTTTGAATATATGCATTTGCAATATATTGCATAGAAACAATAATAATAAAAAATAAAAAATACAACTACAGAAGAAACTTAAATTATTGAATGAAAATTTCGGTCGTAATACTAAAAAACAACTTAAAATGTTTTATATGAATATTCTTAGAGTAGTAGATAGTAAACATATTTTGGTTAAAAAATACAATAATACAATTACAGAAGAAAATTTATTTATTTAATGAAAATTACGGTCGAAATAATAAAAAACTATTTAAAATGCTTATGGCTTATATGGCTTGAGAACTGTTTGATTATATCACTAAGCAAGATGTGCTTTGTGATTATATGCATTTGCAATAAATTGTATAGAATGAATTATACAAGATAAGATAGATAAGATATAGTAGATAGTAAATATTGATTTTTTAAACACATGAAAATTATCTTCAATGTTAAATTTTCCACAGTTTCAGTTGCCTTTCTTTAAAAGACTTGAATTGACTGGAAATAATTATTTATTACATTTGTTTAATAACTATAATTTGTTTGGCAGAAAACATCGGTATCGATAGATAGTTTCTCTCCATCGTTAAGGAATACCATTCACATTGAACGTATCACAGGTGCTAATTGTCATTCACAGTTAACTGCATGCGTCGCCGGATGAAATTTTATTTTTGATTAAACATTTTTCGCTGCTACATAGCGTTAAATTTAGTGAAATAGATTAAACTTTAAACAAATCGGCCCGCAGGATGAAGCTGGCGCACAAGACGCTGCTCAGCGCGCTGCTGTTAGTGGTGGCCTTTGCGGTCTACACGGCCGCGCAGACAAGATCTAAGGTTTGTTTTTGGTGGCCACGTCACTTTTCCTGCGTGCCGGCTTTGAGGTAATCCCCATATCTCTATCACCTTCTTTCAGTCGGGCTTGACGCTGTCGGAGAAAGTACAAAACCTGGTGGACATGAACATGAAGAAGCCATTGCTCCGCTTTAATGGCCCCAAGTTCAAGGAGTATGTGAGGAGTGGTCCTAGAAACTACTCCATGGTGGTGATGCTGACGGCGCTGGCGCCATCACGTCAGTGCCAAATCTGTCGGCATGCCCACGACGAGTTCGCCATTGTAGCCAACTCGTACCGCTTCTCCTCGACTTATTCCAACAAGCTGTTCTTCGCCATGGTCGACTTTGATGAGGGTTCTGAGGTGTTCCAGATAATGCGCTTGAACACCGCCCCTGTTTTTATGCATTTTCCGGCTAAGGGCAAGCCCAAGGGTGCCGATACCATGGACATCCATCGCGTTGGTTTTGCCGCCGACTCCATTGCGAAGTTTGTCGCTGAGCGTACGGATATTACCATACGTATTTTCCGTCCTCCTAATTACTCAGGCACGGTGGCCATGATCACTCTACTGGCATTGGCTGGTAGCTTCCTCTACATACGGCGGAATAACCTGGAGTTTCTGTATAATAAGAACCTATGGGGTGCCATTGCGGTGTTATTTTGCTTCGCAATGATCTCGGGTCAGATGTGGAATCACATTCGTGGACCGCCGCTTGTGCACAAGTCGCAGAACGGGGGCGTGGCCTATATCCATGGCTCCTCACAGGGACAACTGGTGGTGGAGACATACATTGTCATGTTTTTGAGTAAGTTTTTAGCTTAAAAATTTCTCAAAATATGTCCTAATTGGATATACCTTTTTGCAGACGCCATGATTGTCCTGGGCATGATTCTCCTTATCGAATCGGGCACACCAAAGAGCCACAACAAGAACAGGATTATGGCCATGACGGGTCTAGTACTGCTTACCGTCTTTTTCTCCTTCCTGCTGTCTGTATTCCGGTCCAAAGCGCAGGGTTATCCCTATAGGTAAGTTATTACAAACTTTTCCCTATAATATCGCTTCTTAATCCTGTTAATCCTCCATTTCCTTGCAGTTTCTTGTTCAAATAGACTGCAGCAGGACCTGTTTCCCCCCGTAATATATCGTTTTATGTAGTTAAAAATCACCCAGCAGCGACAGAGCGTGTAAAATCGACTTTAATAAAAAATTCCACTACTAAATTATTTTGTATAAAAATGCGAAAAGTCTTTAGAGCAGGAACGGAATGATAGCACGTCGATTCTTTGGATAATCCCTAAAAGTCTCCTTGTACCATTTGTGGGTGAGCAAAGCATTGATCGTTTGATTACTGGCCACCCACAGGAAGATGAGGCGCCAGATCCTCACCGGCATGTACAAATCGGCGATGCAGAAGTACATCACCACCTCGAGGAACATGTGCGGCGAGGAGAGAAGATTAAAGAGTCCACCCTTGGGCAGCAGATGCTTTTCCGTCTTTACGCTACCCGTGCGGGGGTCCTTCCGCAGGTTGACCAGGATCATGTTGCTGGCATATTGCTGCTGCCAGGCGACGGTGAAGACGACTAGATAGAGAATCTGCTGGCCCGTCAGCTTCTCCAAGGTGAACTCCATGGGCTTAGAGCCGCGTACAAAGCCCGAGGTGTTGGATAACAAGGCGATGACGGCTCCAAAGTAATGGACATAGCCCACGACATAGTGGCTGAGGTTAATCTTGCTTTGCCTGGAGAAGATCTGCACAAAGCTAGTTTCATAGAAGCGGCGGGTGCACTGCAGTGTCAGCATCAAAGCGCCCACACAGGCCGTCGTCGAGTCGATCTCCACCTTCCGATGGCTCCGGCCGCCGCCCATAAAGTCCAGGAATCGTAGGACATATTCGGGAGCCTCCCGCTGATCTCTCACCGTCGACACAAGCAGAAAGAAGCCCAGCCAACTCCAGGCTATGGCGAAGATGTAAAAGTGCTTGAACCAGGACTTGGGCACCTCCAGCCAGGCCACCAATGGATCCGTTTCGCCCTTGAAGCTGTGCTTGCCGTACCGAAAGGACTGTCGGATGCTATTCGGTAAGTGCTTCTCCAGGAATGTCATCAGGCCTCCAAAGAAGACTATTGTGGCGATGAAGGTCCCAAACATCATCTGCAGCAGGTTGATCTTGTATCGATCAATTAGATTCTCGAGGAACTCCATGGTTCCAAAGTTGGCGTGCGCCATTGCGAAAATTCTCGAGTCGATGCAGCGCGGTAAAACGGTAAAAACTTTCTCCCGAAAAATTGCGGAATGTTCGTTCTGGCCGCAGCCAGGGTTGCCATGATGCGCAAGACCGGCTTTAAAGTGTTGCTATCGTTATGCTATCGTCGTTTATGCGGTGGAGTGTAAGTGCATTCCAAACTTTATTTGAAATTAAATAAAATATTCATAATTAAGGGGAAGAAAGTACCCTAATTTAACTGATATATGAAGTAACAAAATACCTCATTTATTACAAATACATACTTAAAAATTGTTGTGATGGCAGATTAGTTTTGTGAAGTCGTGTAAAGTTATCTATAACGCATAATCGTTTAAGTACCAAATCAGAGAAAGCTCTATAGGAACTCTAGCTTATTTATCGAAACCAGCTAATCGATAGCAATGGCGGTCTTTTTTGTAAAAAACAATCGTTTATTTATTTGCCTTTAATATTTCAAAGAGCAACGTAAATTGGCTACAGTTTCATGCATTTATATAAATTGATAATTACGATATGGCTTGTCTATATTTCGGCAGGTGAGAGTATTTTTTAATGCAATTGTGATAACGCTCCTCGTCTATATTGCTTATTGTTAATAATCAATCGCTTCAGATCCAAACTTCATTCTTTTTTTAGCAGTAGAGGACTCGAGGGGATGTTTGTCAAATATCCACACCATTCCGACCGAGAGTGCCTCCCTTGTAGGGTGGAGGCTTGGGGCGAGCATAAATGCTGGAGGTGCCACAGTCCAACTGATAAAAGCTGTTGTTCGGACTGAAATATATTGAAATATATGTTAATTTTTTTTTAGACAGTAAATTATTATATCTAACCTCTGGGACCGCATACTAATATTATCCAAAAGAAAATTTGGATCTTTCAGGCTCTTCAAGGTGGTTATAGGTTGATTGGATTTGCTATCCGAGCACTGGACCATCTGAACCGTTGAGGACATGGGATAATCCAAGTTTAAGGAGCTAAAAAACACGAAACGTTTACAAGAAAATTCCCCATAAATTATTGAAAGAAAAAACTAGATAAATAACTTGGAAAATCACCTTTCAGAACCACCATCCGAACCAGAATCACTTGATACGCTTGGCGCACAGGACTCTTCGCAGATGTGGAAAATGTTGGCAAAGAAAAACTCAGAATGCGGATCGGAACTGAAGGCCCAAAAAGAAACAAATAGGTAAGAAATATATACAAAAGAAAACAACAAAAATTAAATTAAAAACCGACTAATTATGGGGCTTTTCCCACTCACAACTTCTCGTGCTGGAAGCACAGCACCGCCGATAGCATTCCGATTAGAATGGCAAAGATCATGCCTGGAATGGCGAAGGCGAAGGCAAACTCATCTATGTAGTTCCGCACTGGCACATCCTCCCGTGAGATCCCCATCCAGCGATCCTGCGGCTCCTGTTCCTGCTCCTGCCTCGGCTGCTCCTCCGCCGCCTGCTGCTCATTTTGCTTGCCGCTGTGGTAGAGGATCTCCGTGGGCGATTCCACGCCCACCATTCGGAAAGCACACCAGTCCAGCTTGAAGCCCACATTCTCGAAGATTTTCTGGACGGATGTGCGCTTGTAGGTGCACGATGGGAGTTTGTACAGAGGACGCACTTCCTCCTGGAGCTCCTTGAGACGGGGTGAGAACTGTGCAAAGCTTCCCACATGGACAATGACGCTGGAAGGTTTAGTTATTTGAATATTAGTTTGTTTATATAATAATAATATTATTCCCACACTTACCCCTCACGTTGCTGCGGTCGCAAAGGTAATCGTCCTCCCATATTCACAGCCGATTCCATAAAGACCACACTCAAGTCCTCTTTGCTGTTTGGCCACAGATCCTTTCGGAATATATTGCGCAGATTCTCAACCCTTCCAGGATCCATCAGATGCACCCAGTTTAAGTTGTCGATCTTCATCTGGACGACATTTGGGGTAGGAAACTTGTGGGCCACGAACATACTTAGAACAATGCGACGAGTTTCGTAATTTTGGCGATTTAAGGCCACCACATCCAAGCTGATATCCTTGCCTGCAGTTGATTCTGGCGGTGTGCCGTAGAGGAACCCTGCATGATATTCATGACTATACATATATCTCATCCAACTGGGCAAATCGGGATAGTTCATCAGCGAGGGGCGATAGCGAAACTGTTCACTGATGACCTGATGTGTCCAATTAAAGAGCTGTGGTTCGATTTTGTACGTAAAGAGCTCTCCCACACTGGCCTGCAGCTTCGTGCCCGCCGCTTCCTGGGTCCACATTACGGCTAAGACGGGCAGTATAAAGCTTAAACGTTTCATTTTCATATTAATTTCCTGCCTTTAATTCACAAGCACATTTTAATTGACAATAAACAAGTACTAAATCCGCCCAGAACCACGAAAAATTCCGATGGTGTGTATCCAATTGAGAGAGGTAAAGAGATGCGAGATTCGAGATGTTTTCGTCCCAAATATATTTTGTTTTTATTTATAAAGAGAGCGCCTGCGCCTTGAGGCTTGACAAGAAGAAATCACCTGTGACTAAGGTCAGTTATGGATTTAAGAAATTAGTTATTAAGAAATTTACTATAAACTATTTGATGTTTTTAAATATGTCGATCTAAATCAAATATTTTCATAGATTAAATTCAAACTTTTAAATTCGATTGAAATGATGTGGTATTTTTCTGGTATATTTCCGTTACAAAGTAATAGCTCTCAAGTAGTAAAGAAGAAAGTTATCGACCTTGGAAATAAGCATGACTTTTCTTTTTATATTCGATTATTTATTAAACAAATCAGAAATGAATTAATTTGATCCAAAATTATTATTATATTTATTTAACAAAATAACAGTATTTTGATAACTGCACAAATCGATAACTTCTTAGGACAGTCAACTAGTCCCATCCCTAGTTGAGCGACAACCCTAATCAGCTGCCTCTTGGCAAATTTCGGGCTAAAATTCTTGGAATTTAATACGTGGCTACCGCTTTTATCTCGCACAAATTGGAATAAGTAATGTCTGCTGACGACAGGTAGCAGCAGCAGCAGCAGCAGCAGGTGCATCTTTTCAAATAAGCGGCCACCCCTTAAAAACAACCCAGAGATGTTTCCCTGCCTGTGCCAGCTATGCTTCTATCTGCTCTCCGCTATTGCTCTTGCGGTGCTGCTGGTGAGTTCTCCTTCGTAAACACACGTAAATCATTATCGAATTATTGATAACTAAAATACACACAGGTTGTAGCGTTGGTTTTGTACAAAACCAAGCCCTATCCCAACATCGAAAGGCACAAGGATGAGGAGACATTCCTGGATCCGAAAAGCATCAAGACGTTGCCATTTCCCAGCATTGAGGAGACGCCTAGTTTGGAGCTCAGTGTCATTGTGCCAGCTTACAATGAAGAGCAGCGATGTAGGTGTTGCCTTTTATGGTTAAAGTTTTAGTTTATCGGTTTTTTTTTGTTCAATCATATACAGTCAGCCTCAATTACAGGTTTTAAAATGCGAGTTAGGCTTTGAATGTTCTGGCTTTCGCGTAATTAGCTATATTTTAACTGATTATGTATGAGTAATCCATCACCATGATAATTATTATTTCCAGTGCCTGCTATGTTGGACGAGTGCCTGGCCTTTCTTGAACAGAAATCCGCAGGAAATCCCAGTTTCACCTACGAAGTGATCGTGGTGAGTGATGGCAGTCAGGATGCCACCGTTTCCGTGGCTTTGCGTTACTCTAAGAAGCATGGAGCTGAGAAGGTTCGTGTCCTTGAACTCATCGAGAATCGCGGCAAAGGCGGTGCCGTTCGCATTGGCGTCCTGAGTGCCCGCGGGCGTCATCTTCTATTCGCCGATGCGGATGGAGCCACCAAGTTCCCGGACTACGATAAGTTGGAGGAGGCGCTGAAGCAACTGGCGCCGGAATGGCAAGAGGATGGCATTGCTATCGGATCGAGAGCGCATTTGGAGAATGATGCGATTGCCACTAGGAGTTTCTTTAGGTATTTATTATTATTTTGGGTGTTTTGTGAGAGTAAAGCTAACTTCGTCTTATGTTCACAGAACCATCCTAATGCATGGCTTCCATTTTCTTGTCTGGCTTTTTGCCGTTCGCACCATCCGCGATACCCAGTGTGGCTTTAAGTTGTTTACCCGCTCAACGGCCAGGAAACTTTTCACCAGCCTCCATGTGGAGCGCTGGGCCTTCGATGTGGAGCTTTTGTATCTTGCCGAGCGCTTGAAGGTGCCCATGTCGGAGGTTGCCGTCCGTTGGACGGAGATCGATGGCTCGAAGCTGACGCCGTTCTGGTCCTGGTTGCAAATGGGCACCGATTTGGGCATGATCTGGCTACGGTATTTAGTCGGAGCTTGGAGGATAGCTGCTATCCAGAAGAAGGAGAACTGATGGGATGATGAGGGGATCTCATTTCCCGTTTCCGACTAGCATTTTTTTTGCATTACCAAAACTCTCTGAACTCTGAATACTATTTTGTGTAGGCCTTAAAAAAATGTAAAGTTAAGTACACAGTATTTGTTCAAATAAAAAACAAAAAGAAAACTAAATATATATTCTTGCAGATAGAACTTCGATCACTAGGAATTAATACAATATAAATTATATATATTTATGTTAAAAAACAATGAAGTAATGTCTGCTTTCAATTTTAATTCATTCACCTTTAGATATTAAATTTACAGTCTTACATTCAAAGTTTTGAATTTTCCTCTATATCTAACGATCGTTTGTATTGCAGCTATATGATATAGTAGTCCGATTTTCATAAAATTAAAATCCAAATTTTAGAATTATATAAAAGGGTATGGTATAATTTATGGTATTAATTTCTCGATCGTTCCTATGGCAGCTATACGATATAGTAGTCCGATTTTTATAATATTTTACACAAAATTGAAGAAAAGTATAAAATGGCTATATTCCAAATTTGATAAAAATCTGCTCAAAACTGAAAACGTTATAATTTTTCATTGTATTAATTTCTCGATTATTTGTAAGGCAGCTATATGATATAGATGTCAGATTTTTATAAAATTTTACATTTTTATATAATTTTTTAAAAGAAATAAAATAATATAAAATGGATGTATACCAAATTTTATAAAAATCTGTTGAAAACTGAAAAAGCTACATTTTTTGCGTACAAATTTTGCTATAGTTCCTATGCCAGCTATATGATATAGTCGTCCGATCCGGCCCGTTCCGACATATATCCGAGTGAGATTATATAGAAGATTAACTGCAAATTTATATGCAGATTGCTTTAAAACTATCGACTCGGCTGTTGATGCTAATAAAAAATTTATATACTTTGTATGGTTGAAGATGACTCCCTCACTGCACTGCAAACTTCTGAGTGAAACTATAATACCCGGAAAGGGTATAAATATATAAAGAAATCTTAAAATTTCATTCCAGCCAAAATTTAAACTCTATAGTCAGCAAAGCTCTCCACCTATTTTCATCGAAGTTATCCACCTTTTCCCAGAAACAAGTGAAAGTTCACAAGTTAAAACTATAATATCTTGTTGATTACTTACCTACTTTTCAATAATTCAATTCAACAACGTTATAGTGATAAATTACTCTCTTCTATGGTTCAAATGAATACATTTTTTAAATTTACTGGACTACTGGATTTTTTAGGAGGAAGTCTCCGCTGCTTGAGATTTTTTAGGGCGAAGGCAATATTTTCATCTGGCAACACTGTTCACACTGGTCGCGACGGCGCGTTTTGTTCGGTTCCTCGTAATTCCTTAAAACTTAATTAAAAAGAGTTATTTATAATTAGCGAAACGCCAACAGTACTCGCAATAGTTCGCACTTGAACAAACAAATGAAAAGTGTTTCCTGCAAGCCGTAAAACCGGGATAGTGCAACTGGGTAAAAAGTTCCAGGAATTCCTGAGCCTGTTGCTCTCTACGCAAGTGAGAGTGTGTGCGCGGGTGTCTCGGTGTTCGTATTGGCGTGCGCTCAGCTGTGCCTGCCGCGCGGCGCTATATTGTTTATAAAGTGTTTATTTTTTCGCAGTATGCAAATACTGAACAAGCCGGTCGGTTGATTCTTCGTATTGCCTCGCCGCGTCGTCTTCGCCGCGCGAACGAAAGTGATTTGTTGTTGTTTACTAAATATCGGTCCCGCTATTCTCCAATTCTCCAATTTGGGGTTTGTTGTTAGCGAGTGCGGTCTCCATCTTTGTGGTTGTTGTTGTAATGCGGTCGGGTCATTGCTTCAAATTGCTTAATCAACGGCACTTGTGGTAAGCTCGAACTGGCACAGTTATCATTTTGATTCCCTTTTATTCTCTCCTCTACCTCTCCCTTTTGCCCCTTGTTGCGCTATCGAATTTCGCCGTTTGTTCTTTGTTTTATCAGCATTAAATTTTATTGCCTTACAAGCTGCGCTTGAAAAACTATTTAGAATTATCGTGTGAGCTATGAAAGAGTGTGATAAGAAAGACAGGAGAGAGCGGGAAACTTAGAATGTAGAAACAATGAAAAAGAGGGAGAAATACTATCAAATTTAATCAGAGATGTTCATTTTACAATGTTTTATTTAAAAATACATAAATAAAATAAAACCCAATACATCATTTTACAGCTGATAAGAACACGGAAATGCATTTTCGTTCTAATCAGAAGGCATTGCATTTACACTCGCAATTCTAATTGGAAAATCAGATTATATTTCCTACTACATTTTAAGAAATGAATCTAAAATAAATTTAAACTAAATGAATTAAGTGAAACAAATGACAAAAAATCACCCAAACTCTTTCATATTGTCTTGAAATTCTTGCTAAGGTCACAGATTCGCTCTCTTTCGGTCTATCTATCTCCCGCTCTTCTTTCGGCTAGCATCGTGACTAGAAAAAAGCTGCGACAATAAACAAAAAATTAAATGGCAAAGAAGAATACAAACTAAGCGCGACCAAAGACCATTTGCGTGGCGAAATTCAAAGTCAAAAACGAGTTGCCAGGCCACGCCCGCTATATGTGCATATATCTCCGTATATATATTGCTACAAGTGTGTGTACGCTCCTCCGAAAAGATTTATGTACACATTGCGCCTTCTGCCTTTTTTTCGCCATCCTTTTCTTCCTTTTCTTCCTCGGTCCGTGTTTATTTTATTACTTATGGCCATGCGCAGGGAGCTCGTCGAGATTCTCTACTTTCCGTCTCTCTCTCTCTCTCTCTCACTTTTGTGGCGGCTCTGCTTGATTAAAGAGGGCGGGAGGAGGAGGGGATGGGCAGGCAGTTATTGTAGTTTTTTTGCTTTGTTTTGTTTTCCTTTCGTTTATTTCCATGCGGGGCAGACGAGTCTGTGCAGGATCAGGGGCGGATTAAGACCAATATTACCAAAAAGAAGTCATACAATTTTTTACGAAATAAAATATCAATTGGTATATTATAAATTGTTAAAAATTCGTAGTTAATTAATATTCTATATTTTTACTTATATATTTTTCTTCCTGCATTTCGCTCCTGTGCATTTTAACCGCCTCTTGTTAGCTTTCGGTGAAGTGTGATAATTCCTGCGAGATCGCCTTGTAGTTGTCTTTTCGCTTCGCTTACGTTGCGTTCGCTGCAAGGAAAGGAAGAAGAACCAGAAAGGGAAACGGAATATCCCGCCTTGGAGGCTAATCCCTTAATCCGCTCTGTGCGTTGCAGCGACTTCAAGGTCAGCGAGTGATCACTGTATACATAGTATACTTAAACGTCCCCTGTCTAGTCCGAAGGGGGCTAATTAATTGTCCGTTTAATCGTTCGATTTGCTGCAAGACTCGTCTGTCCACTCTTCTCGCTCTCCAGACTATAGTCTCTGTATCTCGCTGTATATGTATCTGATGGATGTCAGCCGCAACGCCCACGGCAATTAGTCAGCTAGGTAACTCCCGGTGATCCAATGCTCCAATGGCTGAATGGCTTTAATCTTTTAAAGGTTCATTGGCTCGAGGGCGCTCCAAAAGTTTCGCACGCCCACGCCCCCTACCGAATTCTGATTTATGACCTTGTCTTCGCGTGTGTTGTAACCAATTTCTTTTGCTGTTTTGTTTTGTGTTTGTGCTTCTAATTTTAACCCATCACTTGTGACGCATTGGAAAATGGCTCATAAAATCATTTCGAATCACTTTTCGCAGCATTTGCAGAAGAGTTTTTTATTTTTTTTTTTAAATGGTTGAGATAAAGATGTATATTTTTATGATTCTCAAGACTATCAAAAAAAAAAATAAATACTTAAGACCAAGTATTTATATAAAATTATTTGTTTTCCTTTGATACGTAAATATTAGTTAGTATTTAAGAATCGCATAAAAGACTTCCATTAAAAAGGGAAAACAATTTACGATTTACAAATATGTATTTCCGTCGTACCTACTTTGCAAGGGGATTAATATTTAATATTTTCTTATAATAATTCTTCATATAAATAAAACCTTGTTTCTTAAATATATTTTCTTATATTCTTTGGTTTATTATAACCTTTCAGATACTCTTTCTTCTCAAGATGATGATGGGCACCAATAGAAGCATCAAGTCATCTTCATCGATGCGATCCAGCAGTAAATCCTTTCAGGCCCAATTGGATAGATTGTCGGAGCTGCTTTACGATGTGGTAAAATCTGGTTCGATGGTCAAAAGGGCCCAAAACAAGAAACGCTTCACGCCCGTGAATTACAAACATCGCTGGTTCGAGTTGACCAAGCAAACGCTCTCCTATTTCGATGTGGAAAACGTGGAGGTGAGTCATTTAATTATGGATTCATGTCAACAACAGGTTTAATTCGAAATACACATAAAATTAACCATTAATCAACAAAATGGAATCAACATAATCTCGAAATATGCGTTGATAAAATCTCTGATTTGGAAACTGTAGTAATTAATTTGTCTTTTTATCTTGGTTGGTGAAAAAAGCGAAAGATTACCAACTTGAGAAACTGTTTAATTTAATTATAAAAAGTAGGATATAAGAATTATTTAAAGTTCCTAGCTAGGAATATTTTACAGATCCTTAGATAGTCTACACATGATCGTTGGTTCCGGTTCAGAAACATGTTGATTCATATTTTAAAATCATTTTATTTTTATCCAAAGAAACTAATTAATAATTCAAATAATACTAATACGATCTTATATATAAGGGACCTTCCAGATGATAAGAGTCGAAGTTAGTCAGTTGCCCGGCTGACAATGACACTCCTTGACAGATTCCGAGGAAATGGGAACGGGTCCTACGAACAGGGACCTAAGAACTGGGAAAGGGAACTACGTACTGAGGACAGGGAGTACGAGAATGATGAATTCAAAGGAGGGCTCCCCCGTTCATTATTCATGTTCAAGTGGGCGTCTCATCTTGTCGTCATGGTTTCGTCATTTATTGCGTCGTTATTACGGCACCTACACCGGCTAGCAATTTTCACCACCACCCGGAAAATGAGAAAGGAGCGGAGAGTGTGTGGGTGGGGGCGGAAAAGTTACTCTGCTCCTGCAACCGGCTGCTTTCGTTTCAAAACAAATGTCGCCTTTTCAGAACAAGAAAAGTCTCCAAATGCTGCTTCGGCAACATCCCTTCCAGTCTGGAAATTAACCACTGTGGGGGGTGGAAAATACTCTCCAATAAACACACACACACGCACACATACACACACCAGCAGCTGTTAGCCGGTGGAAAAAACCCACCCTTGGGTGTAGAGTTACTGTCCTATCCCGCTTTATTCCACTTCCAATTGGAAGTTTCCCATGAGCGCAGCGCTTCCCCCGTAAAAATCCTGGATGAAGTTCAGTAACCGTGGCAGGAGTTTCTATCCTGGTTTCGTCGCATAAGGACGTGCTTTCGTGCGTGTATTATCTGTGCTAAAAATCATTTTCCGGCTCTCTAAAATAAAACGCTTTAATAAAAATTGTACTATAAGTTGAATACTCTTTTAAATTCTAATTACTTAAAATTAGTACAAAAGTATCTTAACTATTGATTAATTGTGCTATTAATCGAAATACAAAGAGATTTCTAACGCGCCGGCTGCTACCCTTGAAAATTTGATTGGTTTTTCAGTGAAACCACCCTTATGTCTCATTATTCAAATAAAATGTTTAACTAAAAACGTTTGAATAACTAACTTTAACGTTAAAGTCTAGTGAATATACTGTTTTTCTTACTAAAGAAATAAATAATAAACAGTCGGAATATAAAAAAATTTTCAAAAGCAATTCCCTTCCATGGCGTCGTTGGAAAATTGTGTGCGAATCTGAACCCGAAAGCCACCGAAGAAAAAACGGGAAAAGGAAAGAAAACGCCCCACCCAAAACAAAAGTTTTTCAAGTGTAGCCAGCTGCCTCAGTGTGTGTGTGTGTGTGTTCGTTAGTGCGTGTGTGTGCGTGCGTGAGTGTCCTGCCGCTCATTTTTGCCGCACCCCAAAAATATTCGAATTTCGTGTGTTTCGTTTCTGCGCCTAAATTAAAAGGATTATCCTGAAGCCCAACAGCAGCAGAAAACAGCCGAAAACAGACGCACATTTCTACCATTTCCTAGGTAAGCACACGAAGCCGGAATATATGTATATATAAAAATATATCCCTTTGGGAGATACTAGTTTTATGTGCCAAGTTTGAATTTCGTAATTGAATTAGATGGCGTTCTCAGTTTGGTTGGTTTCAAGGGATACGCCTAAAATTATGCAATAAAATACATATATTGCTTGATTGAAATGAATGGTTATGGTAGGGGAGTTTAGCTTATTTTCGGGGGTTTTCTTTGCTTATTTATTATGTATTTAAAGACTCCTTATTTGTATAATAATAATAGAAACACGATAGCAGTGCTTAGACCTTACCCTAAAAATCGTAACATGGCATAATTTTAGAATCCTTTCTAAGAGATTTTAGTGCTCTTAAAAATTGTATAAATGTGTTAGTAAAATTATTTTTATAACTCCTTAAAAATTCTAAAAACATCGAACCTCCTAATATATCTTTAAAAATAAATCTATTTTATTTACAAAAGGAATTTTCTATTTCAAGGTCTGATTACAATTACTTTATTCCCTTTATTTTAAGCTTTCGAATTGATTTTACATTAATTACAAGTATTTGGTTGTTAAGATAAATCTGAATGGCAGCCAAATCTCTGCTTCTAAATCCCAGCTCATCCTGAAAGGTTTTTCAAATTTTTAAGGAGACAACCGACACGGGTGTCAATCACTCTGTCTTGTCACTCTATCCCCATCATTTTCTCATTCATTTATTCAATTCGCTGGTTTTCCGTAGACCACCACCCCCTGTCGCTCACCGCTTTTCTTTTGTTCCCTGAAGCATCTGCAGAGTTCGGAGGTTCGATGAACTCATCTAGAAAATGTTCAATTAATTGATTGATTCGCGGTGGCTCCTTTGTGTGGTCTCTCTCACCCACCCACCCCATGGTTGGGAAAGTTGAGATGGATATGGCCAGCTCAAGCCATCCTTTCATCCTTCCTTCCTTCCTCGCTCGGTCGCTTCCTTGTGGTCCAATGTCCGGGCCGTCATGTTTATTGGGGTCAGACCCTCGGACACGGAGCGGGCTGATTAATGGGACAGAGAGCCAGCAACAAGCTGGAGCCGGGGCCAGCTCATCCACGTAGCCACCTAGTCATTGCACAGGAATACACCTGGGAAAATAACCAATACATTTGTGTTCTTTTGCTTTAAAGAAAGGTTTAAGTTCTCCAAGGATTTTAAGTGACTCTAAAGAGATATACATTAATTATTTAGGGTTGTAAGAATTTATTTGAATGTATTCTCTTATTAAGGTTATGAAATAATATGTTATGTTGTATATTAATGAAGTCTTTTAAGCCTTTAGGTTTATTTATTGTCAAAAATTCTTTTTATGAATATGATAGAATTTTGTTTACCTATTTAAAACGATTTTAGTAAATTAACCATTTCAAAATTAATATATGGCTTTTATAAAGTTGTCGCATTTTTTATCAGGGTGTAGTCACTGCCTAGGCTTCATCATCATCGTCGCTGTACATCGTTGTCGTAGTTGTGTCATTAACCTGTCATAAAAATCGCAGCTTGGGCCAGGTCCCAGTTACAGTCGCAGGTCCCACGACACTGAAGTGGGTCTGGAGAACCAAAGAACCAAAGAACCAAACCGAACCGAACCCAAGAATCATCCTCTATGGCTCACCGCGGTGGTATGCTAATTGAACTTGGACTCTTTGTTTGCCAACACTTTGCCCGTTTGCAGTTTGCAGTTTGCAGTTTGCAGTTTGTAGTTCCCCTGCCAATGCGTTTCGTTCTGCTCTCTAATACATTTCGCACAGATTAAGGCTGTAAATAACAATTTTGCGAAAGGAAGGCGGGTCGCAATCCAATGCGCGTTAAATAGAGAAATGAACCCAAAGGGGGCGAGTAGTGTGAATAACGAATGTGGGAATGCACTTTCCTTTGTGAGAAATGACAAAGAATTTGATTTTTTAAACAAGAATTCTAAGCTTAATTGGAGTTCTTAATGGTTAGGAAAATACATAATAATATAGGAACATTTTTACTTAATAACTATAAAAGAAGCAAGACTATTAAATATTGAAGAAATTATTACACAACGCTTTATACAGTAGCTTTAAGAAATTGTTTTTTGAAGTACTCTTGAGAACATCCTTTCTATAACCCTGTTCCTTTTAAAGATAATTACACCATCTATATGGCTAATACCTGATGGTCCTCCTCCAGGCTAATGGAGCTAGGTGCCATCTGCTTCGGGGGCTTGGTTCCTTTCGGGGGTATTGCCACCAACCTAAGTCCTCCTCTCGGCTCTCGAGGCTCGTAAATGTGTGTAAATGCTTTCCCCATTATTGATGAGTGTGTGTGTGTGCAGAAGACTAATCCTGTCCAGTAGCCACTTTGGAAATGAAGAAACTCCTTTTCTCGCCGATTTTTATGACTTTTGAAAGTGTTTTCATATATTTTTTTACGACCGCGAAGCTAAAACTTGCCAGCCTGATCAATGTCTCACAATTGTAAGGCTTTTTACCAATTAGACTTTTAAATTTATCACTTTATTTTTTTTTAAGACCCTTTGCGGTGGAAGAAAAATGTGTGTGTGGATTATTACTCATCGCAAGCGTTTTAAAAAATTCTTCACGAATTGACACCTTTTAGGAGGTGAAACAACCGCCGACGACGAACGGGGCTTAAAGCCGATTTCGTAGAATTACAAAAGCCCGCATGGCATCCTCCCAATGCTGACAAATTAGCGGAGGAGCCAAGCTGAATATTTTCTTATAAGTATGTTGGGTGGTCCCGTTTCCAATCGTTGTCGTTTATGCTTTTATAAATCTTCGCAGTGCATTTATACATATTTTTTCCCCTTTCCCTTCTTTATTTAACACGAAATTGGCGCCAAAGCCAAACTGTTTTTGATAAGCTGCTTCATCTTCCTTGTGATGGTTGTTTTTTACCGGGGGAAAAGGAGGGAATCTTGACTCTGACATATGTCGTTCCTCTTTTACGGATCGGCCTGGCATGAGGAGAAGCTGTCCTCGATTTTGTTTTGTGTTCCTGAAAACCTTGGAAGACAACCTGACGTCTTTTGCGGTTTTGCCGGTCGCCAGTTGCCAGTTGCAACCGCAGGCTAAATGACTGAAAAGGCTTAAGCCTGATTACAGTTACTTGTTTAAGGCTGATACCCTGTGATTTGGGGGGTATATGAGGCTATTATGCGTAATTTATTGACATTTATTCAACTTCAAAGCAAAT